CACGTATCGAACTCAACCGGCTGACCCTCCGCATCAAAGCGCAGGACCGAGTCTGCCATCATGGTCGCTGCAACAGCAGAGAGGCGGTACTGGGCTTTACGGAGTGACAGAGTGCGGCGGGAAGCAGTGGTGTGCGGTGCAATGCGGTAGACGGCGGTAGAGTGAGGTGCAGTACGGTAGGGTGTAGTGCAGTGCGGTGCAGTGCGGTGGAGAGGGCCGATGAAGCGAGGTGGGGGATGGGGGGGGGGGTGGGGGGGGGCAGGGGCAGCTGAAGGACGGGGGCCGTGAGGCAGCTAGGAGTCGGAGCCGCGGGCGGCGAGGCGACGAGGCCAGCTAAGCGGTGAGGTGGCGGGGCCGGCTAGGCGACAGGGCCGGCTAGGCGACAGGGCTGGCTAGCCTACGGGGTCGGCTGAGGGACGGGGCCGGTTAGGCGACGGGGCCGGCTGGGCGACAGGGGCCAGCTAGGCGACGGGACCGGCTAGGCGACGGGACCGGCTGGGAGACGAGGCCGACTAGGCGAGAAGGCCGGCTAGGCGACGGGGTGGGCTAGGCGACGGGGCCGGCTGAGCGACGGGGCCGACTGGGCGACGGGGCCAGCTGGGCGACGGGGCCGGCTAGGCGACAGGGCCGGCTGGGCGACGGGGCCGGCTCGGCGACGGGGCCGGCTAGGCGACGGGGCCGGCTAGAAGGCGGAGTCGGCTGAGCTACGGGGCTGGCTGGGCGACAGGGCCGGCTGGGCGACGGGGCCGGCTAGGAGGCGGGGCCGGCTGGGCTATGAGGCCGGCTTGGGGACGGGGTTGGCTAGGCGACGGGGACCACTAGGGGACGGGCCAGCACGGGCGGGAGGGCAACGAGGCGGCTAGGACCTAGGGCGGAAGCGCTAGTGGGCGGGGGGGACCGAACCTACTCTTGATACCATATCAAAGTTAACGAATGATTAGAACCATGGCATACAAGGGAATATAACCTAGTGGGTTGTACTCTATACGGCACAACCCTGTGTAGCCTATAACAAGATATAAAGATATGTTTGACAGTATGTACCGTACCGTATTTTATATTATAGAGTAAGGCAATTTGAGTAGGGTGGGCTTGTACTCTGATGCTTGCTACTATACACAAATAAATGCATGCTATTTTTGTTGAAAATGTGGGTTTTGTCATAAAGCATACCCTTCTACTGAATAGGTGGGATCCATCTAAGGCTGGCGTTATCAGACTATCTAGTCTGATTAGTCTGAAATTTCAGACCCTATTGTTGGCCAAATCTGGATTTTCATATTACCCATTTTCCCAATCCTAATCACTTCAGAGTACGATTTTAGGGATCCTGAAAAAATCAGACTTGTTGCTAACCCAGTGTTGAGTTTCCAGAGCACAACGCATACAGACCCTGAAACACATGTACCTACTACCAACATGCGACCCAAAAAATCTCGGCTAAGTCCCCGAACGATAGAGACATCCCCTACACACCCCACAACCCATCGAAAATTTCGGCCTAATCCCCAAACGCTAGAGACATCCCCCACACACCCCACAACCCATCGAAGATTTTGGCCAACTCCCCGAACGTTAGAGACATCCCCCACACACCCCACAACATATCGAACATCTCGGCTAAGTGGGGTTATCAGACACAGTCTCCCTAACACCCCGACCCCAAACAGCCCAAACTTTTGGCTAAGTCATAAACAGATATAGATATGAGGGTGAGCTGGGCACATAGACAAACCTTCCCTGAGGGGAGGGGGGAAGCGAAATGGAGGGGAAGGGGGGAGATCGAAACAGACGGAGGGGGGGAAGTGAAACAGAGGGGGAGGGGGGGATCGAAACTGGGGAGAGGGGGCAAGCAGGGCGAATAGAGCGGTGGGAGTTTCGCGCCCTTACAACACCCCGGTTGGTAGATCTTGGACGTCAATCATTAGCGATAATCGAACGGTCGAAACATGTCGAAACGATCGCAATCGATCGAGGCCGTCGAATTTTGATACACTTTCCGTTGGCCAAACGTGCAGCTGGCGAGAATTTCCCTAAAAGAGACGACTATTAGAAAATAGGTGTTTCGTCTCTCCCCGTCTGTGGTCAAAAACATTTTCATACTAACGTATCGTCGTCAGTACCCTTAAAAGATCTGCAAAATTTCTCTTTTTTTTTTTTCTTTTTTTTTTTTTTAAGCTCTGATTGTATTAGCTGGACCATGAGAAAATCAGACAAACTAAGTTATGGACTCTGACGTTTCAGACGATCGATATTCTAGCTGAAGGCCCTTCAGTTTTTTCTTTTCTTTTCTTTTCTTCTTCTTCTTCTTCTTCGTTCGGGGGGGTTGGCTCAGAGTGCCTTTTTTTGAAACGTCAGCCATCCATCACACATGAAATACTTTTGGAAAGTTGATCACATTTTTTTTTCTTCTACCGTAAAAGCCCTGATATAAGATGTATGGGTCTTATCATATAACACCATTCAAAACTGCATTTTATGTTATAAACGGAAAAAAATGGGGCATTTGAGTGTCTTATAAACGGAACCCTCATAAGTTCACCGGAAAAACAGCCCGAGAGGTGAACCAAACATATCGAGTCATCTGATAACGAGAATTCAGCGGAATGGGGAAAATTTCTGGAAGTCAATCGTGATGGTAAAACACATGTGATGAAGATGCGAATGCCTGCAACAACACTCCGCCCGGGCTTAATCCCAACCGTTCATCGTCTTAGTCAATAAAAATCGTTTGTGCGAGACACAGTTCTTGCTTTGAGGGAATAAAAAACACTAAAGAAGGGAGGGTCTTATCTCATACCGCCTTGAGGGTGTCTTATAAACGGGAATTCCGAATACAAGATAGACGCCTAATACAAGACCCTGGGTCTTCTATTACTAGGGGGTCTTCTTGTTCAAATTATATAAGTCATAATTCAATATAGGCTTGGTAGGTTGTTACTGAACCTTTCTGTAGGGGGTACAAACCCCTCCTTGTACTCCTCTCTAATCCACCTCTCTTCTCTCTCGACACTCTCGTCCAGCTCCTAACTAAACCCTGCCGCCACATTCATGGCGGCCTTGTTCCTGCCTAATATCCTAGCCTAGAGCTACTTTAACATGGTATCGAGAGCAGGACGTCCTTCCTGGGCCTGCTCCCCTCCGTGCTTCCGCTGCGTTCTCGTTCACTGCCTTCCGACTTCCTGCCGTGCCGCCGTGGCGGCCATGCCCGTATCTGCCATGCCGTCGCGTCGTCACGCGTGGCGTCGACGCCACACTGCTGTGACGGCGCCGTGCTTACCGTCGCAGCGGCGACGTCCCACCACTGCATCGACGCCGCGATGTGTCGGCGTCGTAATGCTGCCGTGGCAGCGTCGTCGGACGGCAGCTTGCCGCGCGACGTTCATGGCGCCGCCACACCTGCTGCCCGCACGCCAGCCTCAAGCGTGAGGCTGGACCACGCCCCGCCCCCCTTCCCTGTGTCCTGTATCTTGCCGCAGCCGACGGCTGACTCCCGCCGGCCGTCCCACCGTCGCGGGGCCTGGCCACGTCACCGAGAGGTGCGGGTGCCGCCGCCGCCGCCGCTGTTGTCGAAGCCGCCGCCGCCGCCGCTGTCGCCGCTTGCGTCAGGGCCACGCAGCCGCACGGCGCCGCCGCCGCCGCTGTCGACACTGCCGCCGCTGCCGCCGTCGCCGCCGCAGCCCCTGCGGTCGACGTCGCCGCCTCACGCACCGTGGGGTCGACCGACCTAGTGTCGCTGTCCCTGTGGCTGGAATGGGGGTGCTAGGTTAGGGGGTGTGTGGTGTGTTGGGTGGGTGTGTGACTACCAAGCCTAAGGGGTGTGTTCAAATTATATAAGTTATAATTTAATATAGGCTTGGTAGGTTGTTACTGAACCTTTCTGTAGGGGGTACAAACCCCTCCTTGTACTCCTCTCTCTTTCTAATCCACCTCTCTGTTCAAATTATATAAGTTATAATTTATATAGGCTTGGTAGGTTGTTACTGAACCTTTTCTGTAGAGGGTACAAACCCCTCCTTGTACTCCTCTCTTTTCCTAATCCAACACTCTTTTCTCTCGACACTTTTCCTACCCTCCTAGCTAAACCCCGCCGCCACATTCATGGCGCCTTGTTCCTGCCTAGTATCCTAGCCTAGAGCTACTTTAACACTCTCTTCTCTCTCGACACTCTCGTCCAGCTCCTAACTAAACCCTGCCGCCACATTCATGGCGGCCTTGTTCCTGCCTAGTATCCTAGCCTAGAGCTACTTTAACACTTCTATCCGGCTTTTACGGTATCACATTGTTCAAGCCTTTTGCATAATAACAAGCCCATGTCAATCGATCTGATTTGGTTTGTCAGCTTTATCTCGCCAAGCATTTTAAAATTTATCCAATTATGACAAATATCACAAAATTTAGGTTCAAAGCGTACGTTCTAGCAGAGTGTGTAAGGAATCATTGACATTTTGTATTGTACAGCGATTCACACTCTAGCAACTGCCCTCTCGAGAAGCCTGTTTCCTGACCTGGGCTCGGGTCGCAAGTTCGCAACGTCGCCGTGAAGTCAATCATGAGCAACAGTGTCCAGAATCCGATGGCAGCAGTCAAGGGAAGTGGAGGCGGGCCTGGCAGGGAGGGCCCAGGTGAAGTGGGCGCAGCAGGGAAGTTCGCCAGCGGCAGGGGTGAAATCTGCCCTGCGCTTCGGCTTGTGGAAACATGCTGTTGACACGATTGCGACAAGGGCTCGGTCGGGTCAGTTGGGGCCTATTCTGAATGCTTTCTGAAGCAGAGCCGCAGTCGCCGAGGCCGACACATTGTCTCCTAGAATGAACTCTGCCGCTGATTTGACACACCATGTTTCCAACATCAATCGACTATCCGAACAAAAACACGCTCTCCGCTCCCTACCTTTCCCCCTTTCCCCCTTTCCGCCGCCATGCTTTTGTGGTTGAGGAATGCAGCAGAGCAGCAAGCTAGCCCAACTCCTCCATCCGTTGAGCATAGCCCAACCATGCCAGAAGTTAGGGTTTCGTTGAGTGTGATTCACTGTTCATCTAGTCTTCGTGTCCAGTCCAGACCAGAGGTGACCTTTCTCTGCTAAGTTGTTTAGTGATAGTTCAACCAGCACATTGTTATCTTTTCTCTCTGATGTAGTCACGGCGTCAATCTCCCCTCGTGCTTACCCCTTGACAATGTCTGATAGATATATCTGCAGCTCGTAACCCTATCAGCTCGCACCCTAGCAGCCATGCTTCAGACGATTAACAGAGTCTTCAGCCAAAGCACCAGCTTCAAGCGGCGGGCGAAGGGGGACCATGAAACCACCGGAGACAATTCCCCGCTTAGCGGAAAAGACGTCCCCTCAGGGCCGTCCGATCAGCGGCCCGACTCCCCCCTGCGCCTGGGATCGCCGTCGATCGCGGCCCTAGGCGAGTCGACGCTTAAGAAAGTCGTTAAGCGGTCGTTCTACAGCGACGCGTCGGGGGGAGGGGAACCGCTGGTGGATGGGCGCGGGGGAACGGGGAAGGAGGTACCGACGGAAATGCTGGCGTTCGAAATAGGATCCATCATGCGCCGCATGCTCGAAATCTTCGACTCCATGTCCGAGAAAATGCTCTCCTCGCTGCGCGCCAACCTTCAGGTCCAATATAGTCGTGACTCGCTCTTCGTATTGTCCTGCTGCTGTTACCCCTAGGAAACGGACGCGCCGAGCAAACCAGCTCCACCGCAAATTCCGGTAGTAGAGCGGTTGTTGCAGATTCTTTTTGTGCTCGCCGGATTCTTTTCCGTTCGCGCTGCGTTCCGAGAAGCGAAATAGCATTCGTTCTGCGATATCCCCTGTGTCTCCCTGTCGGTTCGCCCCGCCCAGGCGCCTGGCGTGGTGACTTTAATCTCCAGCGATCTTAGAGTGCTATGGGGCCTCGCCGGCTACGAGAAGCACCAGGAGCTGCGATCCGTCGCGTGCCGCGTCGCCGTGTTGGGCCGCAAGTGCCGCGAATCGCGGCTGCACCGACTCGAGAGGCTGTTCGCGCGGCTCGACAGCACGGACGCGGATTATAAGATGTTCTCCGCGTCGTCCGCTGAAGGCGAGGTGCTGCTTAGGTGAGCTGAAGGGGGGGAAGTTTACACAATGTCGAGCAAAGGTAGTGTGAGTCCGCTGGTGGGGATACAGCTCGGCGGAGATAAAGTTTGGTGGAGATAAAGTATGGAGGGATGGCTGAATGGGAGGTGATTTTCAAGCTGGTGAGAGGTGGTGACTTTTGAGTCGACTCAAAACTCACAAGTCATATTTTGAGTCAACTCAAAAGTCACCTTAGGTGAGCTGAAGGGGAGGTGTTTTTCAAGCTGGTGAGCGGTGGTGATACGATGTCGTGCAAAGGTAGTGTGAGTCTGGTAGTGGGGATATACTTTGGTGGCGATATAATCTGGAAGGACGGATATTGGAGGGATGGCGAGGTGGGGTCGACCGATTCATTTCCGTCTGCGTCGCATTGCGCTCTGCTCAAGCTCCCCTGCTCCCCGGCTTTCCTTCCCCTCACACGCCACTTCCCTTCTCCTCATTGCTCGTTCTTACCTCTTGCCGTGGTACTTGTTCGCCTTGGCATGGCGCGCCCGCCAGGTTCATGCGCGAGCAGGCGGAGGCGACGAGCGAGCTCAAGAACGAGATGGAGTCCATCCAGGAGCTGCACAGCCGGTGCGCGCCACGAGGGGGGATGGGGGAAGGGGGGGGGATGGGGGTATGGGGGTAATGGGGGGGGGATGAATGGGGGGGATGGGGGGATGGGGGGATGGGGGAATGTGGGGGGTGGGGGGATGGTGGAATGTGGGGGGTGGGGGGATGGTGGAATGTGGGGGGTGGGGGGATGGTGGAATGTGGGGGGTGGGGGGAAAGTGGAATGTGGGGGATGGGGGGATGGCGGGAGGGGGGGATCGGAGAGTGACATTCCATCCAGCAGCTGCACAGCCACTGAGCGCACTGCCCGTTGCTTGGCAGGAACGCGGGGAGGAGGAGGGGGGAAGGTGTATGGTGAGAGGTGGGGGGGGGGGGGAAGGGGGGGGGGGGGGGGGTGGAATGATCAATCATTGTTGGGAGGGACTTTCTTTTTCCTCCATAGCCGTCCCCCTTAGCCCCTGCCTCTTCCGCTGCCCCGTACTTCACCAACCTCCAGGAGTACGGCGAGTGGAACTCGCTGCAGGAGATGGTGACGCAGGGCAAGCTGTAGGTGCTGACACGCCTGTCCGCGCTGCCCTCTCCCCGTTCCCCTCCGTCATCCCGCTCGTCCTCGCTGCAGCATCCAGGAGTACGGCGAGTGGAACTCGCTGCAGGAGATGGTGACGCAGGGCAAGCTCGTGGAGAAGCTGCAGGGCCACTGCCTCTGGGCCTTCCACCTCGACTACCTCGTCCAGGTATCCCCCCCTCTCCCCCCTTTCGCCTTCTTCCCTCCCCCCCCCCCCCCCCCCCCTCCCCAAAAACACCCCCACACCCCCCTCCCCCCTCCCCCCTCCCCCTCCTCCCCCCTCCCCCCTCCTCCCCCCACTCCCCTCCCCTGTCCATGCGTGTGCGCTGTGGGCAAGAGGGCAGATGCATCGCCTTACCATGCCATACCCCGTCCCTCCCTTCCTAGCTGATCTCTCCGGCCCTCCCGAGCAGCTTCCGCCGCCCCAGTCGTCCAGTCCCCTTTCCCTTCCCCCCTTTCCCCCCGCCCTTCTAATTCTTCAGCTGCCCGCCATAGCGGCGTGCTATGTGCGCAACAAGGTCCGCGCGTTGCGCCACCACGCCATGCGCCCGCCCCTCTTTCCATAACTTATCTCCTCCAACCCCTATCCACCCTCCCCTGCCCCCTCCCCCCCCCATTCCTTCCCCCCAGCTGCTCATCATTGCGGCGTGCTATGTGCGCAAGAAGATCTTCGCGTCGTTCGGCCACGGCATGTGCCCGCCGCGCATCCGGGAGGCGTGTCTGGGGGAGGCGGGCCTGGCGCTGCACTATGCCAACGTGGTGGTGCTGCTGGAGAGGATCATTCAGCAGCCGGACGAAGTGCTGGGACCCACCAGGTAGGCTGTTATAGTGTCGTAACCTCATCCGGTAACCCTATGCTGGTAACCCCTATTGCCTGGCGCTGCACTATTTGAACATGTTGGTGCTGCGAGAGCGGATCATTCAGCAGCCGGTCAAAGTGCTGCTGGGATGGGACACACCAGGTAGGCTGTTATGGCCAGGTGTTCTTATTGCTGAGCCAACGAGGTTGGGTGCACGCCAGGGTTGAGGGGGACTTGAGCCGAATCAAAGGCCGCAGTTTGACTTCCCACACCCATACCCGTAACCCGCCAGCCGCCGCACACACACAGGGACGAGCTGTATGAGATGCTTCCTCGAAACATCCAGTACCTGCTGCACATGCAGCTGCAGGACGAGCTGAACTTACAGGCGGACGGACGGGCGTGTTGTGCTTCTCATCTCAGTACCCGCCTCTTGTCTCTCTTCCTCCCCCCCTTTCCCCCCCCCCCCAAACATGCAGGGACGAGCTGTACGAGATGCTTCCACGAAACATCCAGTACCTGCTGCGCGTGCAGCTGCAGGACGACCTAAACTTCCAGGCGGACGGGCGCGTGGAGGCGAACCTCAAGCGCGGGCTGCTGCTGCTGCCCACCATGGCGCACAACACCATCACCTGGCACTCGCTGCACACGCCGGGCTCGGTGCTGGACTCCAATGAGACGGTTTTCCAAGTGCAGGTGGGTCAGCTGGTTGTTGGAGATGCCCCCTGCGAGCTGCTGTTCCGTCATCTCCCTCTGCCTCTCCTCTTCCTCCTCCTCCTCCTGCTGCTGCTGCTGCTGCTGCCCACCATGGCGCGCAACACCATCACCTGGCACTCGCTCCAACTCCAAGGGCAGCGTTGAATTCCACTGAGGCCGTCTTCCACCGAGGCCCCACTCACTGGACCACTCGCAGCTGGTGACCGACAAGGTGGCTGAGGCGGACCGGCGCTTCCGCAAGGCGTGGAGTCACTCTTTCTCCTCTCTCCCTCCCCTAACAATCGCCCAGTGCTCCTCCCCACCCACCCCCAACCCCCCCCTCCCCAGACCTTTTACTTTGCAAACCTGCAGGCGGTCAATGCGACCCTAGTGGACGTGCTGTTGGGGCTGTGCCGCATCTGCGGCGTGGAGTCGGCCATCGGGTGCGTGTCCACGCAGATCCCCGCCTCTCTGGACTACTCGCAGCTCGTGGCGGACAAGGTGGCGGAGGCGGACCGGCACTTCCGCAAGGCGTGCGGAATGGATGGGCGGGATGAGGACTGGTTTGGAGGGGAGGTCACCAAGGTGCATGATGATTCTTGCCGGTCGAGACTGGGGCACGCGCCGCCGCCGGCAGGTGCTGAGACGGCGGCAGGTTTGGTGGGGGTTCAAGCCCAGGTGGCGAAGGTGCTTGGTGATTCGTCGCAGACTAAACGTCCTCATACCCCGGCTCCCACTGCTGCCACCGTCTCTGCTACTGCCATTGCCGCCAATGCTGCTGCGGCTGCGGCGGCGGCTGCTGCGGGCTCTGCCTCTGGTGCTGCGGCTGCCGCTTGTGATGCTGGTGCGTGTTCAGCTTACGACGGGAAGGGAGACCGCAGCACGGACACAATCTATGGTGCAGGCACGGGCACAAGCATGGTTACAAGCATGGGTGCAGGCATGGCTATGGACAAGAGCAGCAGCACGGGTAGTGCTGGCGGTGGGGCCGGTGGTACGAGTGACGGCACGGGCAGCACAGGTTTCATGACCCCCCCTGAGTCACCTGCCAGTGCCATCGCGCAGCCGCCCCCCATCCCTGCATCCCGCTCAGATGGTGGGGGGGCGGAGAGGGGGCATGCCGGGAGGAGGGAGGGGAGGAGGGGGGGTAGGAGAGAGGGGGAGGAGTGGAAGCGGAGCCCCGAGGGAGTGTCTGGAGACAAGGGGGGGAGAGGGGAGGGGTTAGGTGAAACGGGGCAGGGTGATGGGAGCAGGGCAGCGGGTGGCAGAGCGAAGAGCAGTCAGGGTGTGGCGTCCAGCAGTGGTAAGGCGAGAGGCAGAAGCAAAGCGCAGCAGCAGCAGCAGCAGCAGAAAGAGCTCCCACGAGCTCACACCTCCCCTGCTGTTGAAACGACAGCAGTGGCAGTAGGCGGTGAAAGAGGCAACGGTGATACTTATGGCGGTGGCAGCACTGTTACAAGCGCCAGCACCGGCAGCAGCGCTGCTGGGTCCCCCTCTCGGGCCCCCAGCAGGCCCTCCTCTGGCCGCCCCAGCAGATCACGACCCAGCAGCAGCCGGTTCAAGGGAACAGATGCCACTGCTGCTGCTGGTGCTGGCGCTGGCGCTGGTGTTGGTGCTGGTGGTGCTGGCGCTAGTGGTGGTGGTGGTGGTGCTTCTGATTCCACTTCTTCCCCCTCTCGTCTTCCCACCCCACCTCCTCCCGCCACCTACTCCCGGCCGCGCATCCCCTCGTCTCGATCTGACAGCTCCTGTCTGGCGCAACAGGGAAGCGCAGGGCAGAGAGGAAAGAGCAGCAGCATCAGGAAGTGCAGCAGCAGCAGCCCCCAGGCAGACCGCCTCGTGGTCGCTACCTGCACTTCCTCCTCCCCTGGCCGACCCTCCCCAAGTCAAGCCTCCTCGGGTCGAGCCTCCCCTGGGCAAGCCTCCGCCTGCTTCTCCCCTCAGAGCGGGCCCTTCCTCTCCCCCGCTGGTACCCCCTCCCCTGCTGACTCCCCCCGCTCGTCCCCCCACTCGTCCGGACAGGGGCGTGGGGAGGCGAGGGGAACCGCGGGGGAAGGGTTGGGGGAAGGAGAGCGTACCAGGGAGGGGCTCAGGGGGCGAGAGCGAGAGAGGGAGTGTCAGGGGCAGGAAGGGATGGACGAGTCCAAGGGACGGTCGAGGAGACGCGGCAGCAGCGGTTGTAACGGCAGTAAGAGACAGGGAGAGTGTGCTGGGAGTGATAAGGGGCAAAGCAGCAGCAGCAGGAGCACCAAAAGCAGCAGCATTAACAGGAGGAGCACCAAGGAGGGCAGCAGCAGCAGGCAAAGCAGCACTAGCAGCAGTGCCGGTGCAAACCCTAAGCCCGTCCCTCCTTCCTCCTCTGCTGTCTCCTCCTCCTCCTCCGCCTCCATCCCCCCCTCGTCCTCTGCTGCCTCCTCTGTCGCCCGCCAGGTCAGCACCGACTCTTTCCTCTCCACTGACAGTGATCCCCGCTCTTCCTCCTCCTCCTTTCCCTCCTCCCTCCCCTCCTCCACCCTCTCCTCCCACTCCTCCGCTCTCTCCTCCCTCCCGTCCTCCATCCCCTCTATCCCATCCTCTGTCTCCTCCTCATCCTCCCGCAGCTGGGGCTCCCAGCGCTGGGGCTTTGGCAAGTCCAAATCCGTGCGAGTGTCCACTGCACCGTCCACTCCCTCTCGGCCCTCAACTCCTGCTCAGCCGTCCACCCCCCCACCTAACGGCCTCTCGTCATGCGACGTGGTGACTTCTGACATCAATTATTGCAATTCTGATACTAGCCCTACTGGTGCAGGCGGTGATGCCGCTGCTGCTGCTGGCGGGTTTGATGGGAGCTTGTTGCTCTCCCCGTCGTTGCTGGAGACAAGGCGGCTGCGCAAGGCCATGCAAGGGGGGGCCATAGTGGGGTGCTTCACAGGGGGAGGGGCAGCAGCAGCGGTGGATAGTGAGTCCGAGGCGGAAGGGGGGAGGAGAGGAGGGGGAGGGGGTGGCTCTCGGCCGGGCACTGCTGGAAGCAGGTCGAGGGGGAGTGGGGAGAGAGTGAGTGGAGAGAGGGTGGGTGGTTCAGCAGGTGGGGGGTCGGTTGGTGGGGGGCGTCGATCGAAGCTGCTTGGTGGTAGCAGCAGGGAGAGTGCTAGTGGGGATGGGGGTGGGAAAGTTGGCGGTAGTGGCGGGGGATCGACTGGCAGTGCGCCAAGACGGACGAAGCATTTCTATTCGCAGCCAATGCCGCCGCGTGTGCAGTGGAATGAACAGATGGGGATTGTGGTGGGAGCTGATGGAACCATGTAGGTGGAATATAATAATGTAATGATTAATTCCTAATATTCAGTTGGTTCATTCGGCTATCAACCTTTTGCAAGTTTGATTATTTCTTCATCTACCGTATCAGCATCACAATTGATGTTTTTATCTTATACTATTGTCACTCATGTTCACATGGGGCTTGTAAATCCGAACTCAAAATGCAATGGCCATGGATCTCTCTGTTCAATAGCTTGTGATAATCAACCATCTACGGTGTTGATACACCAACCCTAAAGAAACAGTCTGCTCTGCACTGCACGCTACATAAGTTTTGCGCATGATATATCCCCTCCACTCCACACCCCTTCCTCATTCCGTTTACCAGATCCCCAGAAACTTCCACCACACGCCACCCACTCCAAGCCAGATCACCAGATTCACCACGCTGCAGATAAACCCGTAGAACCACCAATCATTCAGCGACACGTACCCCGACCCGTAGAACGGCGGGCCGGACCCAATCCCGTAGTGCGTGATGCCCCCCATGAGGTTGGAGACGAAGGAGAGCACCATGGCAGCGAGCAGGGGCGGCGTGCCGAGGGCAGAGGCCACTGAGATGAAGGCGACGAACATGGCTCCGATGTGCGCCGCGCCGGACGCAAAGAAGTAGTGCGAGTAGAAGTAGAGGATCACGAGGAGGCCGAAGGCTGGCTGCCAGGCCAGACCCATGGATGACACGACCTGGAGGGAGGGGGGGAAGAAGATGGAGGGGGGGAAGGAACGAGAATAGTGCGAGTTAGTGGCAGTAGAGAATGACAGGCAGGCCGAAGGCAGGCTGCCAGGCGATTCCCAGGGGTGACACGAGCCAAAGGGGAGGTGTATGTAGTGGGGACGGGGACAGGAAGATCAAGACCCACCTATACATGTAACCAAGGTTAAAATAGCCAGGCTGCTGGGTCAATAACAGAGACTCAGGGATTCCCTCCCCCTCTCCCTCCCTCCCTTCATCCTCCCTCTCTCACTCTCTCTCCCTCACTCACGTTGACAACAAGTCTGGCTGAACCACGCACTGAGCCCGAATTTGTTGAGGTAGTTTGCCATGGCGATGAGCACCGCGAACCACGTGACAGCTTGAAGCGCCTCACTCACACTCACTCACGCACCTCCACACTCTCCCAGACTCCCACACTCACGTTGACAACAGTCTGGCTGAACCACGCAATGAGCCCGAATTTGTTGAGGTAGTTGGCCATGGCAATGAGCGCCGCAAACCAGGTGAGTGTGTCCCAGGCCACGCCCTCCCCCAGGCACTCCTTCCACGTCACCACGCCCGTTATCAGCAGCCCGCTCAGGCCCATTATGGCGGCCGTCACCGCGTCAATGCCCAGCACGCCACCGAACACCCACAGGCCAACCTGCGGATGGGAAAGGGAGAGAGGCGAGGGGGAAAGAGAGAAGGGTAAGCGGAGGAGGGGGACGTCACCACGCCCGTTATGAGCTGCCCGTTATGGCGGCTGTCACTGCGTCGATGCCCAGCACTCCACCGAACACCCACAGGGCAGAGGGCATGGGAGGCGGGGAAGGCGAGGAGACATGTGCACAGGCAGAAGCACGCAGCAGGGCAGGGCACATGCACGCCGTTACCACATTCGCACACGTACCGTGCCGACCAGCACAGCCGCCATGATCTTCTCGTTGGTGCTCATGGGCCCCATGGCCGCCAGCTTCTTGCGGGCGAGCAGACATGTGTGCAGGCATGCCATGCGTACCAGCATCTCAAGTAACACACATACTCACCGTGCCAACCAGCACGGCCGCCATGATCTTCTCGTTGGTGCTCATGGGCCCCATGGCCGCCAGCTTCTCCTTGGCGAGCTTGGGCGCGTCGGGGCTGGACTTGATCTCGGGCGGGTAGATGACGTACAGCAGCGCCGGCATGACGGCCAGCGAGATGAGTCCCGGCACCATGGCCGCCTTGGCCCACTCCGTCCACCCGATCGTGTGCCCGATGGCGCCTGCCGCCAGGTTCACTGCCAGGGGGTTGGCGGCCATGCCGGTGAGGAACATGGCGGATGAGATGATGGACGTCTGGGGGGGAAGCGGAGGGGGGGAGGGGGGGGGGGGGGGGGGGGAGGAGAGAGAGGAAGTGTGAGATTAAGTGGGTTGGGCTAGCCGCCATGGCGGTCAGGAGCGTAGTGGAACACGGAGGAAGGGACGATGGGCGTTCAGTAGGAAGGGGGAGAGAGAGGGGGAATGACGGGTACGGGCAGCAGGGGATAGTGACGGGGCCAGAAGAATTCGACTAGAATGACCAGCGTACCTGGAAGCACGTCAGCACGAGCCAGGCGCCCAGCTTCTTCTCCGTGCCGTCGTCCGTGCGGCTGCCGTACACCTGGCAACGGACGACGGCACGGAGAAGCAGCTTCTTCTCCCGCACGCCTCACAAGCAGTTGATTAGAATGACCAGCGTACCTGGAAGCACGTCAGCACGAGCCAGGCACCCAGCTTCTTCTCAGTCCCGTCGTCCGTGCGGCTGCCGCACGCCTGGCAGAGCGCCTTCAGCAGCGGGAGGAAGATCCCGCCCGCGCGTGCGGACACGGAGGGGATGGCGGGCGCGAGCATGGCTTCCGACAGCACGAGGCTGTAGCCCAGGCCCAGCGACGTGCTGCCGAAAGCGGCGACGAACTGGTAACCCACGCGGTTGCCGAGCCCCGTGTTGATGAAGCCCTTGGCGAAGAAGAAGGCGAGCGCGATGAGCCACGGGATGGGATCACCGAAGGAGCTGCGGAGGGGGGAGGGGGAAGGCGGGGGGAAGAAGAGGAAGGGGAGGGGAGGGAGAAAAGAAGCACATTGGAGAGATGAAGGGAAGGAAAAAGGCGAGCGCGCGATGCGACACGGAATGGAGTCGCGGAAGTGGCTGCGGAAGAAATAAGGCGAAAGATGAGGTGCAAGGGCGCACAGGCGGCGGTGCTCCAAGGGTAATGCGCGTGTCACGCCTCCCGAGTGTCATGCGAAGGCTGATGCGTGACGAATGCTTTCCGAGTGCGACAAATGCTGCCTCAAGGCTCATACACCCCTCCGCGTGTTAGGTAGAGGATAATGCGTTACAATGTTACCTGAAGGTAAGCGTGTAACAATGGTGACGATGTTACCCGAAGGTAAGTGTGTTACAATGGTTACAGTGTTACCTGAAGGCGGCAGCGAAGGTGAGCGTCTTGGTGAGCACGCTCACGCCCAGCCCCATGAGCGCCACCGCTCCCAACGGCAGCGGCTGATGCGGGGAGAACCGGGGGGAGAGGGGAACGACGAGGCGAAGAGAGCGGAAAGGAGCAATGAATAGAGGAGATGGAAAGGATGCATCCAAGGTTAGAGCATGTGACGGGGAAGCAGGCACGATTTAGGATGATTACGGTGAAGAATGACGCGGGATTGAAGGTGGTATGAGAAAGGAAGGGGACTCGGGGAAAGGCAGGCAAGACAGGGTCACATTCCGTTGTAACGCATTCTGTTCATTACAACGGCCGTCCTGTACGAGGCCACTCAGTGTGTAATGTACGCCTTATGAAAAATCACGATATGATGCTATGTATCACGCCTTGACGCCTTCTTTCTCATACAGCACTAACACCGTAACCAACGACCAATGCGGCTGGCTCAAGAGATGTCCGCGTTACGGCGAGAGCGCGCCGAGCATGCACATTGTTAATGCGAGACCGCGCCGAGCATGCACATCGTTACAGCGAGAGCGCGCACCTGAGTGATGATGCCGATGATCGTCGCGAGGAAGATCGCCAACAGCTGCCACGCGTTTGCAGCCACGCCATCGGGCCGCGGGCAGTACCACACCGCCACGCCCGTCGCCACCGCCACGCCCAGCGTCTTCATATTCGCGCCCCTCCACGGCACCACCGCCGCGGGAGCCGCCGGCACCGGCGCAGCTCCCGCCGCTTCACCTTCTGCTGCGGAGGCGACGGCGCGGCGCTTCTCGCGACGGTTGCGAATTGCCGAGGCCGGAGTGGCTGCGATCGGCGACGCTGCGACGATCGCGGCGTGCGACTCGAGGTACGAGCTGGCGGCGACGGGCCGGCCGTAGATCGGCGATTTCATGTGCGACGGCTGCGACGACGACGACTTCGCCAGTCGCGCGCGCGATGCGCTGGCGAGAGCCGCATGGCATTGCGGCTTGATCACCGCTGTCGCCATGCTGCACAAGAGGCAAATCACAAGCTAGAGCTTAAAAACCGAGCCCAGAAACACAATGAGAGGAGTAATCTATCAGAGTAAGCTGCCACACATCCCAGCTTTCAATCCGACCAAACGAAAATAGATCAGTCTACGTGCAAAATGCTCATAATATGTTCGCTAGAGCGGCTCTGGTCTAGTCTGGACTAGTGGCATTTCGTGCTGGGTGCGCCGGAAAAGCTCCCCCGAGCTCTCATCTGGGGAGTGTCCACCAGAGTGCCTCGCGACATCCGTTGACGAAACGCAGTATATACAAACACCTACAGAAACTTCCGGAAACGCAGTGAACCGTGTTGTACCTTCGACGTCCTGAACGCTGAGCTGCTCTGGTGGCGCAGTCAGGGCGAGGCTGGCGGGGGAGGGCAGCGCAAGCGGAGCCTGCCAGACTGGAGCTTCCGCCCCGTTTCCGCCACTCCCACGAAGTGGCACTGGTGCTGGCTGTTTTTCCCCAGAGGTTCCGCCACCGCCAGCTCTTTTTACTGTAGCAGCGGGAAATTAAATGCGGTCTGGATCCATTCGTGTGATCTCGGGCTTGATGGGCGCGCCGTCAGCGTTTCGCTGTCGACGTGGTGGCCTGGCTGACCTGTGAGTGGTGGGAAATGGCACTGATCTTGGAGCGCGAGCTGACCGTGTGCTTACGCGGCAGCGGTCGATCCTGAATTCGGATTGGTAGCTTTACTGAAGCCTTTCCTGATGCCTCGCTTACAACTCACTAACTGCTCTCAAATAGTCACACAGCACCAGGTAAATTATTTGCAACTACACCAACAAACCAACCTGCAAAACATCCAAAGCCACATCAATTTTGTGCAGGCCATTTCTACACCTTGATCATTAGGTCATAACTGATGGATGTACGGTATACGAAGATCTATATTCTTAAACCAAAGACAAATCATTTAGTATTATATTATTTTACAGAGTAAGCAGTTTCCGTAGCCAAAGAAAGGCTGCATGAATTCTACTATCCCTGTGTAGACAAGGAAGCCACACTACTCACCCAATCAACTATGATGGTGCTTTCGCAGCGCAGCAATGACACTATGGCCTTTCACCGCCAGCGGAACACACGCTACCGTTTGAGCGCCGCGCGGGGAAGTCGTCGTCTTAGGCGCTCGACAAGCCACGCGCATCATGCATCCCCGAAATTGCGGGCTCAGCTGCAATCCCTCGTCACAGTCACTCTCTCCATCCGAGCACTCTCCATTCCCCTTCTCGTCCTCCGCACCCTCCTCCGCCAAACACGCCACGGCGAGGTCTTGAGAAGCCCGCGCGGAATCCTTGTCCTTCTCCGCGGCTTTCCGCCCATCCCACTCGAAGCTCCGCCTCCCAAAGCTCAGTCCGCTCCCCGCGCTGCTCGTCGCGCTGCTCTGCCCCAGGCTGCTTCCGCTGCTCCCGGTACCCGACATCGTCCGCCGGCTGCGCCGCCACCTGCCCAGGCGCAGGGGGGACTCCGATCGGGAGGATGCGCGGGACGAGTTGGCGGAATTGCTCCCGGAATTTCCCGCGCTACTGACCGCGCAGCTACTGGCGGCTCGGCTTCCCGCAGTCGTAGCAGCAGCAGCGTCAGCGCCTCCGCTGGCGCAAGCGGCGGCTGAAGAGGCGGAGGTCCTCCCCGCACTGGAGTTAATTTCCGCGGCGCCGTTGACTTCGCGCTGACAGCGCAACACCGCGACTCGACGGTGCGTCTCCAGGATCTGCAGCTCCGCCTCTAGAAGCTTCAATCGCGCGGAAATCTCGGACGCCGTGATCCCCGCGTCGGGCGATTGCTCCTCGCCGTCCCTGTCCTCATCCCACTCCTCTTCCCCCTCGTCATCCTCATCTCCGCCAAATTGCGCAGCAGCGTTGCGGTCGGGTACGGACGGGCAGCTCGTCTGCCCCTTGGAAAATCTCGAGTTTCCGCCAGTCGCGCCCGTGCATGGCTGGGGGCCGCTGCGGGAAATTGGCGGACGGTCCGCTTCCCCGCGGAGGCCAAGCAGCAGCACTTGCGGGTCCTGGTACCCGCCGTTACAATAAGGAGGCGCACTGTAACGGGACCCCCCAGTGCTCGTTCGCGAAATGTCGATGTCCCAAATCTCGTCGTCGTTGTCGTCGTCGTCGCAAGCGTCGCCCGCGGGGACCCACTGGATGGGCTGCGGGGGTGCGGCGCAGAGGTCGTCGCCCTCGGGGTCGGGGATCTGGACCGTGAGGCTGCGCCGCGGCATTGACGGAAATTCCGCGGGAATGAAGTCAGACGATGGCGGAAGGGTGGGCGGAATGGTGGCGGAAAGGTTACTGAGAGGGGCGGCTGAGGGAACGGCAACCATTGCGGCCATTGCCGCGCGGAGAAATGCTCTGCTGAGATGCAACGGGCTTGGCCGATGGAATTGATCGAGACGCGACCGACGAGTTACAGGTCGGTGTCTAGATCGTGGGGTGGACGACGGGAGACTAGAGAGTTTTTATGAGCTAAGGCGCTCTGTCTCGGTCGAGGCTGCACGTACACGTTCGGCGTCGTGGTTCTATTTGCTGGCACGAAGTTCACTTCTGGTAACGCTTGGGAAAAATTGGAGCGATGACTTTATCAGAGCGAGCCGTCCATGTTGTGGACTCTCAAGCTGGTGGTGAGCCAGGCCGGGGAGGAGATAGGTAGGTGTCAGTCCAGGCGTCCAGACGTGCTAGTTTGCGGTAACGTGGAGAGAAGCAGTGAAGGTAGGAGGCGGCGGGATGTGTTAGTTTTCTAGGGGTGCGCTGTGAGGAAAGACAGCATACAGATTCATGACACGAATCACGAGGAGCGGCAACCAACACACCTGCTTCGAGCAAATACACCGCGTGATTTGGCGCAAAGCTGCATTGAAGGCAAAACTACACACAAGCAGGCAACAGGGGAGGTGGACGGAAAGGGGGAAGAAGGGGCACTGAGACCTGTACGGTGTACAACGGTGGAGAGAGTTGAAAATTGCCCCTTCGGGGATTGGGGGGATTGGTGGGGGGCACCTGACTGCAGATTACAGCAGCACACCCCCCCAATCACATACTGTACTGTACAGTTTTCAGATTCCCAGCATGTGCGCAAAAAAGATTGCTTCACCCGCCCGCTTCCCGCCAGCAAATGGACTTTCCTTCCGCGTGCCGCAAAACACAACCGCAAATGACGCCCCCCAGTGGGGGAGTGGAGTGGAGGTGGAGGAGGGTTGCAGTCGGGTGTCATAAATGCGCACAGTTCTGCGGGTAGCGGGCAGCAACGAAGAAGAACATCTCACCCTGAATTATCGTAAGCTTTACAAGCCCGTATAGTTACTGCTGCAAAATAGTCGTTGTGTACACCGCGTGCGCACCATTCAGCTCCGATTTTTACGAACAGCGTTGGCGAAATGCGCGCACTTTTCTCGCCAGTCTTCGCCACGGAAGAATGGGCCATTAAGTGGACACACTTGCTTTCGCGAGCTCCTTTGCATGCACACTTTCGCCGCCGCCGTGCCGCAGGAGCCACAAAACCGGGGTGAATGGGCCATCAGGTGAAAGGGCCGTTGCCCGTGGCAGATGGGCGCAGGTTAGGGGGTGGGACTGGTCAATTTTCCGGAACTTTTTGGACAACTGGTGTACACAAACCTTGTGAGAAACATTGATTTACTTATGGAGATAGAAAACGACCCAGGAAATACTCTACCCACGGTCAATCGCATTAATTTCGCTCATAACGACCAACCATGAGCAGAACGAGGTCGAGAAGACTGGACTCGAGTCGAGAGAAGGAGATGACATGACAATCAAGAAGGGACCACAAGCATGCGCGCCAAAGCAGGCCAGTGTCCATCATCGAGCGACAAGAGGGAACTTTGGGGCGAATCTTCAGCAACCAGCGTGCGTCAGATTCGTTGAACCTCTCCGTTGAGCGGGCAGCGGAAATACATAATGCATCGATAGCGAGTATCATAATGCAAGAATGGCTCGCTGGAAACTCGCTGCTTTACATGGCACAGAATCACATTCGATCCGAGGCAGGGCAGTTGTAAGGGCATCAAGCCCCCCTCACCGTCGATCATCACATGCTGGGAGGTCCTATCTTGGCATCTTGCCACGCTGGAAAGGTCCACGGGGAGAGCGTGGCCGTTAGCTGTCACGCGGAGAACCTCACGCAATCACGTGAGCATACACTTGTTTTTGGGTTGCGTAGCAACCCTATAAAATCGGTTTCACATTTCGGAGCGATGATACAAACAGTTAAACTTTTAAGAATTTAGTTAACTGTTCGGTGCAACTCCAAAATATGAATCCAAATGTCCAAAGTGCTCCATCGCGTCGATAAGTACGGCGGATGGAACAATCAGACCGCATGACACATTTTAACAAAATTTATGTATACTTAAACATCTTGTAGGATTGCAAATGCCAAGAAACGAGTGCATGTATGTATTAGTAGTGTTGCAGTAGAGATTGATGGGGTGCACGATGACAGCAGAGCTGCCCCAGACACGATGACAATCTCTAATTGCAACACCTAGCCTATAAGCAGCACGCTCGAGGCAAACACAATCCAAATACACCTCGTGCCAGCCACCCCATCTCGTCAATAAATACAGTGGATGGAATGAACATGTATGTACGATAGGATTGTGAGTGCTACGAAACGATTGCATATATGCATCAATGCTGCAATAGAGAATGATAGGGTGCGCGATGACAACAGAGTTGCCCAAGGCACGATGACAACCTCCAATTGCAACACCTTGCATATAAGCAGCACGTCCGAAGCAAACACAATCCACGCCTTATCACATTTGCAGCCAAAAGCACTATGAACATAGAGACTAAGAGCAGCAGACACACCCTTTAAACAGGCAGTATTTACCAAACCCATGCGCACCCCTCTCATGCAAACAACAATCAAGCAGACAGATGCAGCATCGCAAATAGCCTAATAATTGGAGTCCCCTATATCCAAATTAGAGAACAGCGATAACATAGTGCAATTACAAATTTGTCCCCGCGAGATGTTCCAACAAGCAATAGAAATTGGTATTGGAAGATGTTCTTTGTCTTGCGGCTGGAACAGACAGCGCGTGCTACACGACCTGCACAGTACACCAGTAAATCATAGAAACACAACATACGTTCAAAAGTGGACCACATAATTTGTTAATATGCATTCATTGTGTTAGATATTGTGTTTGGGGTTTAAGGTTTAGTCCGGAAGTACTACATGGGATGGAAGGGAGGAAGAGAAAAACAGAAGGAGAGGGAGAAAAAGGGCAGTAAGGAGAAAATTATAGACTTCAATTGTGGGGACGCTGGCGATGACCTACGTGGTACCTAGGAATGAATGAAGGGATGGAAAGAGGAGCAGGAGGGGTTAAAAGGAGGGGGACACGTAAAAAAAGAATATGTGGCATGAGCAAAATGCCATAGCAGACGGCGCCAGCACGCAAGTCACCAGCACAGACCGGGCCAGCGCGGGCAGCACCAGCTCGCACGGCATAGCATGCTATGCCCATACATGCATACAGCAAGCCACGTTATGCACATACACGCATACAACTAGGCATGCTATGCCCATACACACATACAGCCAGGCATTCTATGCCCATACATGCATACAGCCATGCATGCTATGCCCATACATGCAAATAATACAACTAGGTATGCTATGCCCATACACACACACAACCAAGCATGCTATGCCCATACACACATACAGCCAGGCATACCATGCCCATACACATACACAACCAGGAATGCTATGCACATATACACATACAGTCAGGCATGCCATCCCCATACACACACACAGCCAGGCATGCTATGCCCATACACACATACAGCCTGGCATGAGATGCCCATACATGCGTACAGCCAGGCACGTTATGCACATACACGCATACAACTAGGCATGCTATGCCAAAACACACATACAGCCAAGCATGCTAGGCCCATAAATGCATACAGCCATGCATGCTTTGCCCATACATGCATACAACTAGGTCTGCTATGCCCATACACACATACAGCGTGGCATGCTATGCCCTTACATGCATACAGCTAGGCATGCCATCCCCATACACACATACAGCTAGGCATACCATGCCCATACACACACAGAGATAGCCATGCTATGCCAATATACACATACAGCCTGGCATGCTATGCCCATACATGCATACAGCCAGGCATGCCATGCCCATACACACAAACAGCCTGGCATGCTATGCCCATACATGCGTACAGCCAGGCACATTATGCACATACACGCATACAACTAGGCATGCTCTGCCCATACACACATACAGCCATGCATTCTATGCCCATACATGCTTACAACCATGCATGCTTTGCCCATACATGCATACAACTAGGTATGCTATGCCCATACACACATTCAGCCAGGCATGCTATGCTCATACACACATTCAGCTAAGCATGCCATCCCCATACCCACATAACGCCAGGCATACCAAGCCCATACACACACACAGCCAGGCATGCTATGCCCATATACACATACAGTCAGGCATGCCATGCCCATACACACACACAGCCAGGCATGCTATGCCTATACACACATACAGCTTGGCATGCTATGCCCATACATGCATACAGCCAGGCACGTTATGCACATACACGCATACAACTAGGAATGCTATGCCCAGACACACATACACCCAGGCATTCTATGCCCAAACATGCATACAGCCATGCATGCTACGCCCATACATGCATACAATACAACTAGGTATGCTATGCCCATACACACATACAGCCAGGCATGCCATCCCCATACACACATCCAGCCAGGCATACCATGCCCATACACACACACAGCCAGGCATGCTATGCCCATATACACATACAGTCAGGCATGCTATGCCCATACACACAAACAGCCGTGCATGCTATGCCCATACATGCGTACAGCCAGGCACGTCATGCACATACACGCATACAACTAGGCATGCTATGCCCATACACACATACATCCAGGGATGCTATGCCCATACATGCATACAGCCATGCATGCTATGCCCATACATGCATACAACTAGGTATGCTATGCCCATACACACACAGCTAGGCATGCTATGCCCATACACACATACAGCCAGGCATACCATGCCCATATACACATACAGTCAGGCATACCATGCCCATACATGCATACAGACATACATGCCATGCCCATACATGCATACAACTAGGTATGCAATGCCCATACACACATACAGCCAGGCAGGGTATGCCCATACACACATCCAGCTAGGCATGCCATCCCCATACACGCATACAGCCAGGCACGTTATCCACATACATGCATACAACTAGGCATGCTATGCCCAATACACATATACAGCCTGGCATGCCATCCCCATACACACATACACCTAGGCATGCCATCCCCATACAAACATACACCCAGGCATACCATGCACATACACACACACAGCCAGGCATGCTATGCCCATACACACATACAGCCAGGCATGCTACGCCCATATACACATACAGCCAGGCATGCTATGCCCATACACACAAACAGCCTGGCATGCTATGCCCATACATGAGTACAGCCAGGCACGTTATGCACATACACGCATACCACTAGGCATGCTATGCCCATACACACATACAGCCAAGCATGCTATGCCCATAAATGCATACAGCCATGCATGCTATGCCCATACATGCATACAATACATCTAGCTATGCTATGCCCATACACACATACAGCCAGGCATGCTATGCCCATACACACATATAGCAAGGCATGCCATCCCCATACACACATACAGCCAGGCATACCATGCCCAAACACACACACAGCCAGGCATGCTATGCCCATATACACATACAGCCCTGCATGCTATGCCCATACATGCATACAACTAGGTATGCTATGCCCACATACACATACAGTCACGCATGCCATGCCCATACACACACACAGCCAGGCATGCTATGCCCATATACACATGCAGCCCTGCATGCGATGCCCATACATGCATACAGCCATGCATGCTATGCCCATACATGCATACAACTAGGTATGCTATGCCCACACACACATACAGCCAGGCATGCTATGCCCATACACACATACAGCTAGGCATGCCATCCCCATAAACACATACAGCCAGGCATTCCATGCCCATACATGCATACAGACATGCATGCTATGCCCATACATGCATACAACTAGGTATGCTATGCCCATACACACATACAGCCAGGCATGCTATGCCCATACACACATACAGCTAGGCATGCCATCCCCATACACGCATACAGCCAGGCACGATATGCACATACATGCATACAACTAGGCATGCTATGCCCATACACACATACAGCCTGGCATGCTATCCCCATACACACATACAGCCAGGCATGCTATGCCCATACACACATACAGCTAGGCATGCCATCCCCATAAACACATACAGCCAGGCATTCCATGCACATACATGCATACAGACATGCATGCTATGCCCATACATGCATACAACTAGGTATGCTATGCCCATACACACATACAGCCAGGCATGCTATGCCCATACACACATACAGCTAGGCATGCCATCCCCATACACGCATACAGCCAGGAACGTTATGCACATACATGCATACAACTAGGCATGCTATGCCCATACACACATACAGCCTGGCATGCTATCCCCATCCACACATACAGCTAGGCATGCCATCCCCATACACACATACACCCAGGCATACCATGCACATACACACACACAGCCAGGCATGCTATGCCCATACACACATACAGCCAGGCATGCTATGCCCATATACACATACAGCCAGGCATGCTATGCCCATACACACAAACAGCCTGGCATGCTATGCCCATACATGCGATACAGCCAGGCACGTTATGCACATACACACATACCACTAGGCATGCTATGCCCATACACACATACAGCCAAGCATGCTATGCCCATAAATGCATACAGCCATGCATGCTATGCCCATACATGCATACAATACAACTAGCTATGCTATGCCCATACACACATACAGCCAGGCATGCTATGCCCATACACACATACAGCAAGGCATGCCATCCCCATACACACATACAGCCAGGCATACCATGTCCAAACACACACACAGCCAGGCATGCTATGCCCATATACACATACAGCCCTGCGTGCTATGCCCATACATGTATACAGCCATGCATGCTATGCCCATACATGCATACAACTAGGTATGCTATGCCCACATACACATACAGTCACGCATGCCATGCCCATACACACACACAGCCAGGCATGCTATGCCCATATACACATACAGCCCTGCATGCGATGCCCATACATGCATACAGCCATGCATGCTCTACCCATACATGCATACAACTAGGTATGCTATGCCCACACACACATACAGCCAGGCATGCTATGCCCATACACACATACAGCCTGGCATGCTATCCCCATACACACATACAGCTAGGCATGCCATCCCCATACACACATACAGCCAGGCATGCCATGCCCATACACACACACAGCCAGGCATGCCATGCCCATACACACATACAGCCTGGCATGCTATGCCCATACATGCATACAGCCCGGCACGTTACGCACATACACGCATACAACTAGGCATGCTATGCCCATACACGCATACAGCCAGGCATTCTATGCTCATACATGCATACAGCCATGCATGCTATGTGCATACATGCATACAACTAGGTATGATATGCCCATACACACATACAGCCAGGCATGCTATCCCCATACACACATACAGCTAGGCATGCCATCCTCATACACACATACAGCCAGGAATGCTATGCCCATATACACATACAGCCAGGCATGCCATCCCCATACACACATACAGCCTGGCATGCGATGCCCATACATGCGTACAGCCAGGCACGTTATGCACATATACGCATACAACTAGGCATGCCATGCCAAAACACACTTATAGCCAAGCATGCTATGCCCATACATGCATACAGCCATGCATGCTATGCCCATACATGCATACAACTAGGTATGCTATGCCCATACACACATACAGCGTGGCATGCTATGCCCATACATGCATACAGCTAGGCATGCCATCCCCATACACACATACAGCTAGGCATAACATGCCCATACACACACACAGCCAGGAATGCTATGCCCATATACACATACAGCCAGGCATGCCATCCCCATACACACATACAGCCTGGCATGCGATGCCCATACATGCGTACAGCCAGGCACGTTATGCACATACACGCATACAACTAGGCATGCTCTGCCAAAACACACTAACAGCCAAGCATGCTATGCCCATACATGCATACAGCCATGCATGCTATGCCCATACATGCATACAACTAGGTATGCTATGCCCATACACACATACAGCGTGGCATGCTATGCCCATACATGCATACAACTAGGCATGCCATCCCCATACACACATACAGCTAGGCATACCATGCCCATACACACACACAGCCAGGCATGCTATGCCAATATACACATACAGCCTGGTATGCTATGCCCATACATGCATACAGCCAGGCACGTTATGCACATACACGCATACAACTAGGCATGTTATGCCCATACACACATACAGCCAGGCATGCTATGCCCTTACATGCATACAGCCATGCATGCTATGCCCATACATGCATACAATACAACTAGGCATGCCATGCTAAAACACACTTATAGCCAAGCATGCTATGCCCATACATGCATACAGCCATGCATGCTATGCCCATACATGCATACAACTAGGTATGCTATGCCCATACACACATACAGCGTGGCATGCTATGCCCATACATGCATACAGCTAGGCATGCCATCCCCATACACACATACAGCTAGGCATAACATGCCCATACACACACACAGCCAGGAATGCTATGCCCATATACACATACAGCCAGGCATGCCATCCCCATACACACATACAGCCTGGCATGCGATGCCCATACATGCGTACAGCGAGGCACGTTATGCACATACACGCATACAACTAGGCATGCTCTGCCAAAACACACTAACAGCCAAGCATGCTATGCCCATACATGCATACAGCCATGCATGCTATGCCCATACATGCATACAACTAGGTATGCTATGCCCATACACACATACAGCGTGGCATGCTATGCCCATACATGCATACAACTAGGCATGCCATCCCCATACACACATACAGCTAGGCATACCATGCCCATACACACACACAGCCAGGCATGCTATGCCAATATACACATACAGCCTGGTATGCTATGCCCATACATGCATACAGCCAGGCACGTTATGCACATACACGCATACAACTAGGCATGTTATGCCCATACACACATACAGCCAGGCATGCTATGCCCTTACATGCATACAGCCATGCATGCTATGCCCATACATGCATACAATACAACTAGGTATGCCCTGATTACTTCAAATCATGTTCACGCTCATATCTAGTCTAAAAAACAATTGCACATAGCTTACCTTACAAACGAACTATATTACCAATTTACTTGCATGAGAGAATTGCTCTTTCATTTCAGGATTCTATTAAGCTGCTACGCAACCCCGACGACGCATTGGTGTCGAGCCTTGTTTATACTTCGTTTTAAGCCCCTTTCACGCGGCTTAAGCCTGGAAACAGGAAATGGTAAAACACGGGCAAACGGGACCTTGAAAAGAACCTACAGTAAACACTGACTACTTGGTTACAAATTCTAGCTCCTGCACTAGATTAATTGCCTGCGCGACGTCCCAGCTCTGAATCGCAACTGTCGAGACTCAACTTGGCTGTTCGCTATCGTTCAGAATGCAGCCAATCAGGTTCATTGTCAACACTAGTCATGCTGAGAACTTGGTAGGTGGGATTGCAATCTGAACTGTTACGGGTGGAACAATACAGAAGAAAATTTGTACATAAAGTACACTGTTGTCGGAACCGCCCTGGCGAGGGAAAATACTGTAGTTAGTTGGCATGCATAAATTCTGGGCTCTGTTCGCGAGCCCAGCCGTCCTTCGGAACGAGAAGGTGACGTAACAGTCGAAATCCGAGACCCGAAACCCGTAGGCTAGCTGGCGGAATCCGAACCTAGGGTATTACGACAAACCTGTCGCGCGACCGTTGACATCGCAATGTCAACGGGCAACAGCAGCATCAAAGGGCCACGCGCCGTCTCCACACACTGACGAGGAAACTGACGCAACTGAGGCCACTTTTTTCGACCCATACCTCGGGGGCTCTCAAAACGAGCCTCAATTTGGTTTCGCGAGCCTAAACCCAACCTAATTCCCCAGTTGCGGCGAAATATCCTTGGCTGGAGCTATTAGGGAACAAGGCCCTTACAAAACAGTCCCTGGGCAGGAGTCATCAATATCTTTGTTATGCTCTTGCGCATATGATCACAATACTCTAAAATGCCATTTTCGGAATAGCCCATTTCTCAATTGGCTGGTATCAAAGGTGCTACACAGTATCTTGGCTCATTTGGACACATGATACATCAACAAAAATCTTGTATGGGTTGACAGATACGGTATGCTAAAATGCCATCAATGGTATATTTTAGCTGGTGTGCACCCGATATGGAACTTCTGATGGAACGGAGGAAGTCACTATCGGCGAAATGTCTTGAGCAGCTGCAGGCGTTGAAGTAGCATGCAAACTGGAAAGGGGGGGGAAAGAAACATAAAGAGCTTGGAAACGGAGGAATACATTGGATATGGTTCCAACTTCCAATGGAGACAAGCACTCGAGGAGACTAAGCACGCAAAACAAACCGGTCGGGGCATGCACAAGAGAGTTGACAATGGCATATGCATGATTAATAGCAACATGTTGTTGCGATGCGATGGCACACACACATATGAGGAGAGGCGGTGCATGAGGGAGCTGGGCTGGGACTTGGTCATCATGAGACTTCTCAAATCAAGGGCATATGTGAGTACTAGCAACATGTGGTTGCGATGGACACGTACGAGGAGAGGCGGCGCATGAGCGAGCTGGGCTGGGATTTGGTCATGGTGAGCGCTCGCGTGAGCAACACAGCAGGATCCTCTGATGCGGAAGACAGGAAAATGGAGAAAGGGACAGAGAGGCAGTTCTGGTGACGGGGAAGCTAGGCCAGTGAGGCCAGTGGGGCCAGGAGGAGGGAGGGAGCCCTTTCTAAGAGAGAGGTGTTGGAAGAAGTGAGAGAGGCTCCATTGTCGTTGATGATGACCGTGCATGCAGCGTGTGATGACCGTGCATGCAGCAGTTCAGACTGCTTTAAGTCGACTCAAAAGCAGCAGCTAATCAACTCAGCTGAGTCGTACCCATCCCGCCGCCTACTATGCATCCTGGCCTTGAAGCCTGTTACAGGAGATGAGCTTCACAGCCCGTCAACTTGCAACAGCTGCCCCGCCCCCTGTAACCCCCCTGAAATCCCCCTGAAATCCCCCTGAAATCCCCCTGAAATCCCCCTGAAATCCCCCTGGAATCCCCCTGAAATCCCCCTGGAATCCCCCTGAAATCCCCCTGAAATCCCCCTGTAACCCCCCTGTAACCCCCCTGTAATCGCCTTACCTCGGAATCGTCGGCCGGGTAGTCGTTTGAACTGTTTGGCCGGCGGGATGACAATGGCGGCATCAATGTTGTCGGGCAGGCCCCTGTGCCGCCCGAGCAGCATGACTAGGATCACGATCAGCTTGGAGAGCACCGACCACGTGCCTGCAGGGCGAGAGAGGGAAGCCGAGAATGAGAAGCTGATGAAGCCAGAATGGGCACAGGCAGCCGACTGTGCCACTCGGGCAGCACGACCAGAATCGCAATCAGCTTAGAGAGCGTGTGCCTGCAGGGTGGAGTATGGCCAAAGAGGGAAGGCCAGAACGAGTGGGTGATGAGAACAAGGCCAGCACGGGCGGCACTCGGTGCAGCCCGAGCAGCATCAGCAGGATGACTTGTAATTTAGAGAGCACCGACCATGTGCCTGTAAGGCCAAAGAGAGGAGGTGGAGTATGGACAGAGTACGGTCAAGAGGGGCACATGCACCCCTCTGTGCTGCCCGAGCAGCATGCCATGATGACAATCAAATAGGGAGCGCGGACCATGCGTGCAGGGTGAAGTGAGGGAAGAGGAGGCGAAAGACTGACTGACTAGTGCCCTAGCAGGATCGGCAGAAGCGCCATGAGCCTAGGGAGAGCACGGACCATGTGACTTTCGAGTCGACTCAAACGCCATGAGCCTAGGGAGAGCACGGACCAAGTGTTTGCCCGGGCAACAGGGGATGGAGAGAATGGAGGAATGAGGAAGATGACACGATGACTAGATGACTAGATGACTAGATGACAAGATGACAAGATGACAAGATGACAAGATGACAAGATGACAAGATGACAAGATGACAAGATGACAAGATGACAAGATGACAAGATGACTAGATGACAAGATGACAAGATGACAAGATGACAAGATGACAAGATGACAATATGACAAGATGACAAGATGACAGGATGACAAGATGGCAAGATGACAAGATGACAAGATGAGGCGCGCACAGGAAACCCCAGCACCATGACTACATCCAGCGTATCCCACATAGACGGTCGCATGAGCGGTCGCACAGATCCTTGCAGGGCTTCCTTGAGGGTCCACCTCAGAAGCTGTAGGGCGGCGCTAAATACCTGAGAAGCTGCTGGCAGCAAATCTACCTGAGAAAATACCTGAGAAGCTGTAGGGCGGGGCATCGGTGCAGTCGGGGTTGCTGGTGGGGCAGCCGTTCCCCAAAGACAATCCAACGTTGCCGTAGGCACTGTGGGTTCATGGGATGGCAGGAGATGAGACAGAGGGCGAATACAGGGAAGTTGATAGAGACAGTGGGCCAATATTGCTGTAGGCACTGTGGGTTGGTGGCACGGTGGGAGATGAGACAGAGGGCGAATAGGGGGAGTTGATACAGAGGCAGTCCAGCATTGATTGGGGGCTGTGAGGTGATGGGATGGCGGGGAGACAGGGGGTGGATTGGACAGACAACCCCACAATGCTGTAGGCACTGGGTGGTGATGGGATGGCGGAGGGATGGAAGAATGGGGCACATGCTCAAGCCCACATGCTGTAGGCACTGTGACTTGATGGGTTGGCGGGGGTGGGGGGAAGATGCGAGAGAGGCCGACAGAGGGAGCCAGGACAGAATTGACATAGGGAGTCGGAATAGGGATAAACAGGCAGTGACGGGCTGTGTCTGGTGACGGGCGGTGGGGGGCGGTGACGGGCGGCGGGGGGCGGTGACAGGCGGTGGAGGGCAGTGGCGGGCGGTGACGGACGGTGACGGACGGTGACGGGCGGTGGCGACGGTGGCGAGTGGTGACGGGTGGTGACAGGTGGTGGCGGGCGGTGGCAAGCGGGGGCGGGTGGTGACGGGCGTTGGCGGGCGTTGACGGACGGTGACGGGCGGTGGCGGGCACTGGCGGGCGGTGACGGGCGGTGGCGAGCGGTGGCGGGTGGTGGCAAGCGGAGGCGGGCGGTGGCGCGCGGTAGCGCGCGTTGACGGACGGTGGCAGGCGGTGACGGGCGGTGGCGGGCTGTGGAGGGCGCAGTGGCGGGCGGTGGTGGGCGGTGACGGGCGGTGGCGGGCGGTGATGGGTGGTGACGGGCGGTGGCGGGTGGTGGCAAGCAGGGGCGGGCGGTGGTGGGCGGTGGCGGGCGTTGACGGGCGGTGGGGGGCGGAGACGGGCGGTGGCGGGCTGTGGAGGGCACGGTGGCAGCGGGCGGTGGTGGGCGGTGACGGGCGGTGACGGGCAGTGACGGGCGGTGGCGGGCGGTGACGGGCGGTGGTGGTTGGTGGGCGGTTCGCGGTGTCGTAGGCATGATGTCCTGCGCATGATGTCCTGTGCATGATGTCCTGTGCATGATGTCCTGTGCATGGTGTCCGGGGCATGGTGTCCGGGGCATGGTGTCCGGAGCATGGTGTCCGGGCCACAATGTCTGGGGCATGATGTCCTAGACGATGGTTGAAGAGAGGGGATGAGAGGAGAGGAGGGGGGATGAGAGGAGAGGAGGGGGGATGAAAAGGGGAATTGGAATGGGAGGGGGAAGGGTAGGGGGAATGGGAGGGGGAATGGGAGGGGGAATGGGAGGGGGAATGGGAAAGGGAATGGGAGGGGGAATGGGAGGGGGAATGGTAGGGGTTGAAGCAGACGTGTGGATCACCTGATAATTTCGAAGATCACTTTGAACACGCTCCAGTTACTGGGGTCGACCGTGAAATTGCTGTCCTGGATGATGCAGACGAGGAAGGAGAGGAAGAGGAAGATGGGGAGGAAGAGGAAGGCGGGGAGGAAGATGCAGAATGAGGAAGAGGAAGGGAAGCACGAAAACCCGGTCGCTCGTGGTTGGAAGGGCAGCAGTACGAAGAAAGCTCTTGAGCAAGAAAGAACGAACGTTGGGAAACCGGCTAGACTGGCGAAGCCTTCGTCAGCGCTGCTGGAACGACGAGAATGGCGCCGACGAGGACAACAGCGAGGACGGGGTAGACAGCGAGGACGGGGTAGACAGCGACCTGGTCACTCAAGGTTGGAAGGGCAGGAGTACCAAGACCAATGTTACTGGACTGACCTGGATGACCTGACCTGACAGGAAGGGCAGCAGTACCAAGAAAGGTGCTACTGGACTGACCTGGATGACGCAGACGAGGAAGATGGAGAAGAAGATGTACACGGAATCCTGCGCCACGAGGTGGCGCCCCTGCGAGAGCACGGACGAGTCCAGCACGCCCCCCTGCACGTCCTCTGCAAACACCCCGATGTCCTCCGAGTCGTGCACGTCGCGCTGCTCACGGGAGGACTGGCGCGTCAAGAAGACCGGGTACACTGCCACGTACCTGCAGGTTGGGAAGGGACACACAGAGGGAGGGGAGGGTCAGGTGGGGCAGCATGCAGCCTGCAGCATGCGAAAGCATGGGGGGGAATGCATAGTGGGGGATGCATGAGGGGGGGATGCATTGGGGGGAATGCATGGGGGGGGATGCATAGGGGGGGGTGCATGGGGGGGAATACATGGGGGGGGGGGGTGCATGGGGGGGGGGGTGCATGGGGGGGGGGTGTATGGGGGGGGATGAATGGAGGGGGATGCATGGGGGTGGGATGCATGGGGGGGGGATGCATGGGGGGGGATGCATGGGGGGGGTTTCCATGGGGGGGGGATGCATGGGGGATAAAGGAAGCCGATGAAGAGGAAGTTGGTGGCAGTGGAGAGGTAGGAGAGGTTGATGACGCAGAAACTCACAGTGCTGAGCTGACTACATTGCTTTATGATAATGGCATGTATGGTTATCGGATTTATACCCGTATGGCTTGGTGGGTATGGCATTTATGCCATGCGCAATGTGTATGGTAAGCAAGGCGCTCACATGAAGCCGACGAAGAGGAAGTTGGTGGCAGCTGAGAGGTAGGAGAGGTTGACGATGGAGAAGCCGGCATTGCGAGTGCTCACAGACTGCATGCAGCTGTCGAAGAAACGGTACCCGCCTGATCCAGGGCGAGGGGGGACGGGGGCAGGGGGTGTGGGGGGAAGCAGGGGGGGGGGGAAGAGGGACGAGGTTGTGGGGAGACCGGCATAGCGAGTGCTCACAGACTGCATGCAGCTGTCGAAGATACGGTACCCGCCTGGGAAGGAGAGAGGTGGGGAGCTTGCATGCGACTTCCGACGGACTGCAAAAGCTCTGCTGCGCCTGCATTTCTGCTTACCACCAAGGCCGGCAACGGCCTGGGAGTTCCAGTCGAGGATCATGGGGAAGAAGGCCTGGCCGGCGCTGAAGGCGACGATGGTGAGCAGCATGGGGCCACATGGGTCACTGACGACCACAGAGATGCTCAACACCATGCTGACTAGCTAGCAAGGCTTACCCCCAAGGCCCGCAAAGGCTTGAGAGTTCCAGTCGAGGATCATGAGGAAGAAGGCCTGGAAGGTGTTGAAGGCAACGATGGTGAGCAGCAGCCACAGCGTCTGCTTGTGCGGGAAAAGGTGTGTGTAGCACTTGCGCGGGTGGTCCAGCAGATACTGGGTTATGTACCTGAGGGGGGGGGGGCAAGGAGGAGAGGGAGGATTGCAGGGACAGAGGGGAAGAGGGGGAGAGGGGGAGAGGGGGAGAGGGGGAGAGGGGGAGAGGGGGAGAGGGGGAGAGGGGGAGAGGGGGAGAGGGGGAGAGTCTCGAATGGTGTTGAAATGAAGGCAACGATGGTGAGCAGCAGCCAGAGCGTCTGCTTGAGAGGGGAACAGGTGCGTGTAGCACTAATGCGGGTGGTCCAGCAGATACTGGGTTATGTGCCAGACGGGGGAATGGGGGAGGGGAAGGGTGAAGAGAGGGAGGGAAGGGAAGGGGCGAGGACGGTACCCTCTGAGTTGAGCACAGGTAAAGCACGCTGGTCTGGAAGGGATTCAGGCGTTCACATTGCAATGCAATGCAATGCAAGGCAACCCGTCTTTCATTCTCTTCCTTCCTCTCTCCCTCCCTCCCTCTCACCATCGGCTGCTGTCCTTCCTGCTCGTGACATGCAGCAGTGTCAGCACGCCTCGCAGCATGGGGGCATACATGGTGTTGCCCACCAGGATGAGCACGCCCACCACAAGCAGGTACGGCACGTTGCGCTGGAAGGGGATGAGGTTCTCGTCCATGAGCCCGAACCCAGAGTTGGCGAATGCAGACACGGACTGGAAGGCCGAGTTGAAGACAATGTTGATGCCCCTGCCTGAAGGGGGGATGGGACGGGGGATGCAGAGGCAGAGATAGTCGCTGGCAGCACGAGGCTGACGAGGGCAGAGCCCTTGTAGAGGCCCTTGCCGGTGAGCCCTTGCCAGTGAGCCTCGAGAGACGCCTCTTGAGCGGAACATGCTGTGGTAGGTCTTTGAGAATTCAGTTTTGAGGCGCCTCAAAACCAGAATTCCGCCTTCTGAGAATTCTGGACAAGCCATCTGCCAGATGCGCTACCTGCTTGAGAGCACGTCATGGTACTTGCCTGTGAGCAGGTCGAAGGCAGTGAGGATGGTGCTCTGAGGTGCCTCACTTGTGTCTGAGCAGACCACCGCACTTGCCTGAGAGCAGGTCGTGCTACTTGCCTGAGAGCAGGTCGTGCTACTTGCCTGAGAGCAGGTCGTGCTCCTTGCCTGAGAGCAGGTCGTGCTACTTGCCTGAGAGCAGGTCGTGCTACTTGCCTGAGAGCAGATCATGGTACTCGGGCCACCACCAGGTGATGAGGATGAAGAGCACGAAGCCCGTGATGATGGTCCCCAGGAAATAGGCAGGCACCAGCCAGCTCAGGAGCTCAAGGGCCCTGTAGAGTGGGGATGAGATGAGAGACGTCGGGAGAAGGTTGGATGCAAGGGGGAAGAGGCAAGAGCGGAGAGGGAAGAGGGCAGAGAGGAGAGGGGGTCTGTGGCGAGGCGAACGCCACCAGGTGGCGGGGTCGACAAGGATGAGGCGGAGCCGATGGTGCCCACTGCCCAGGACATACGCCAGCACCACCAGCCAGCTCAGGAGCTCAAAGGCCCTGCACGGTGGGGAGGAGAGGAGTGGGGGAGGGAAGGGTAGAGGGCAGAGGGAAGAGGGGGTCTGCGGCGAAGAGGCGACCGCCACCAGGTGAAGATGTTCACTGCTCAGGAAATACGCAGGCACCAGCCAGCTCGGCAGCTCAAGGGCGCTGTAAGGTGGGGATAGGATGAGAGGTGTTGAGGGAAGGGGGATTTGAGCAGCTCTCTTAAGCTCCGTGCTGCTCGTTCGCCTGAAAGTGGATAATGCGGTTGAGCCCAGCCATGAGCCCAGCCATGAGCCCAGCCATGAGACTGGGCGCGCAGCAGCGAGGAAGACACTGGGCGGCGAGGAGGAGACTGGGCGGCGCATAATGTGGTTGAGAACAACAGGACTTACTCCCCCTCTCCCCACAACCCCACACCCCCTTCTACCCCACGCCCCCTTCTCCCCCACGCCCCCTTCTACCCCACGCCCCCTTCTCCCCCACGCCCCCTTCTCCCCCCGCACGGCGCACACTCGCTCACCTGAGCTCGATAAACCGTCTCTCAAACGGTGCCACTTTCACCGCCTCCCCCGGCTGCTCCCAGTCCCCTCCCCCCTCGCCTCCGCCCTCTCCATACCCCCCCGGATGCTCCAGAATCACGTCACTTCCCCCCCCAGCCCGCGCGCTTGCCATGTTATCGCCGCCACTAGGAACATCCTGGGCGAAAGAGCTAGCAGCAGAGCCAGCATGCTGCATGTTGTTGTGCTCCATACTGCTGGGCCACGTGCTGCGACTCGGTACGCCACTATGCTCTCTGTGCAAAGGCTCTGTGGAGATTCTAGACACTGTGGTCAGCGCTCGGGACAGCTTCCTCTGCAGCCTCGTGAGCGGAGGGTTGCCCCCACCCCCGCCTTCCTCATCTTCCCCCGCCTCTCCCCCCCCACCGCCCCCCCGTTCTCTCTCCCTCATGCTCGCCCACTCCTCCGTTTCCTGCCTCCTCTCCGCGTCCAGTTTTTCCATAGTCTGTCTGATAAGCGCACTGCCATGTCCGTGCCCGCGGCTCAACACACTCTCAGATCTCTGAAAAGCCGCCCTGCTGCTGCGGCCGCTGGGCTGGTCTCTGACCGCGGATGCTGCCGATGGCAGTGTAAACACGCCCCTAGCTTCCTCCTCTTGGAGGTGCTTTAAGAAATAGTGCCTCCGGATTAAAACGGGGACGAGGGATGTGAAAACCGCACTCCCCATCACCATGAGCAGCAGCAGAAGCACCTGATCGAACGTGGAAAACACGTTCATACGGACGGATGCCAGGCCTGTAACGGTCAGCGCGGACGTGCAGTTAAAGAGCGCGTCTATAAAGGAGATTTTTCCAAGGCTGCCGGCGGGAGAGGCGAGCATGATCAGCGCGGCGACCAGGTCCACTAAAACGAAGCAGAGGAAGTGGATTCGATAAAAGGTCACTTGATTGCGGAGCCACGCAGGGAACGAACGCCATTTCACGTGCTTAAAGCGGTGCAAGAGTCCAGGAGAATTCGCAGAATGGTCAGCGTGGTTGTCGGTGGTGATGGTCGTGCTTGGCGCTTCCGCCACGGAGATTCTGCTTTAAAGCCCGGGTCACCACCACCAGATACATGCAGGAGATAATAGGGGAAACATGCTGGTTAAGTTGTCAGAGGAAACATGCTAGTTAATTTGTAGGGGGGAAAATGCCTGACGGCAGTGATCAGGTTTGACGGGCATGTGGTAGAAAGTTTGGAACGTCTAATAATGACGCTAAACCCTGTATTTGCGTCAGATGGAGGTACTCTATTTGCGGATAATGTGGCTACTTCGGCGCTGTGCATGCACCCCTCCCCGAACCCAAATCCGCATTTTGAAAGTGTGGATTAGAACAAATTTGAAGACGGAAATGGCAACGGCAGCATTTACTATGAGAGAAGTTGACGGGTAAGACCATACCTCGGTTCTAATGCTTCAGTTTCGGCATCATCGGCGTTCGCGTTCATTGCTGTCGTCATCGAGGGGTCAGAGACCAAAGCTCTTGCCTTGACTTCGCTCTTATATTGAGTTTACGACAAACGAGTGTCCTGTGAGTCCGGCGTGCCTGGCGTGATTCAGTGCCTGCTGCTCGACAGCCTGACGGATAGGCTCCTAAACCCGGATCACACAACTACTGTCACTAGCAGTTGGAGATAATGTAGAGTGAGACTTCATGTGACAGCACAGCAGTCAGTGAACATTCAGCACAGTACCCTTGCTGGAACCTGCCACCAACACCTGAGGTGGGGCCGTGTTTCAAAAATCATTAGTGCGGAATAAGTGATATTGTAAGCCTCCTTACTATGTAATTCGAGCTCTATAGATAATGCGTTACTACATATCAAATATCAACTGAATATTGCCCATACGATTTTCTCCATCTATAAGAAAATGGCAAGTGTAGCACAACTGTTCAACATTACACTGCTATGTCATACATCAGATATGTCATTAGGTCCTTGATATTTTTGTCCAGATACTATCCTACCGTCCATAATTCGGTAGGATCCAGCACGCTATACTCCGATCGTACGGAGTACAACTCCTGTAGTGCGTACGGTCAACGTCGAAAAATGCCCCGTCTGCCAATGAAATTTCTGACGAGGTTCCTTGCGATTTGAGAGTGGCTCGACGAAAGTCGTAGATTATTTTCGCGAAATCCAATACACTTGTCCTCTGCCAATTTCTCTGGCAGCAACTTCTCAGGTTTTGTCGCTTCTTCTGTCTATCTGTCAAGTCCTGCTCAAAAGTTATAGAAAAGGTTCAGTTTAGTTCGCCATGTCAGCTACATGCTTGGCCATCATCGCGGAATCGTAGCCGTTGGTATGAAAGGATGCGATTGCTTGAAAAAACACGTAGGGCATTGCGATAAGTCGATGTGGATTCTACCATTCTCACAACCATACAATTTCTCAAAGGTCATGATTCAGCTAGATAATTTTATGGCACCCCGTCAGCAGGACCGCCAGCATGGTTCCTTTTCGAGAAATTGGTGCCAACGCACTGGTTGGCGCTAATTTCTCCACCTCCTACTAACGACAAGCTACAGTTCTTATACCGACAAGATACAGTGAACTGAGAAAATGACGGAGGACATGTGTACGATCATATGTGCCACCCAGTCGCAATAAATTGGGGTCGCAATCCAAATGGCGACCCAACGGCCAATAAAATATCGCTAGCTGGACAATCAGCAAGCTGTACGCAGGCACGTGTACTGTTCATACGTTTTTATCCATTCCGTCTTACGATTACGGTCCTAAACTAATCCTCGTATTAAGAGCATTCGATGCGTTTTCCATTTTTTAGAACCAATCGCGTAAATATTCAAGCTTCCCGCGTGACACAAACATGACCGTCCTGAATACGAAAAAACGGCCCTTTGTCTCTCAATCACCATTAACAACTACACATTTCGAAAATGATTTTCTCAAGGGGGTCTCTTTCACTTTCGTAAAAAACTTGTTGTTGGTTAGCGAAACCGCTCAATAAAGTCGTCAAAATTTAGTTCCATTTAGCCCTTTTCGTGAGACCACGAAAGGGTTTTCCTTAATATTTGTTTTGCGCGTTTTGAGCCTGCGCTGCTTGCGGGAATTTCGAGGACGAGGTGTGACTTTTTTTGTCCACGTGTTTCTGACCAGACGACAGATTCATTGCGCGTTCTTGAAGAGGCCACATGACCCCTCACATGACACGCGGCGAAATCGCTGGTAACCTGGCTCTAGTGGCCAATACGCCAAGGAACTCATCGTGTACAAAGCGAGTAAAACGGCCTACGCCACGCCACCTAAAATCCCTAGTGCTACTCTATTACAGTATCCAGTTTGCCCGTTGCGTAACGCCCCTATTCGTCGTACTGTACTCCATATTTGCGAGTCGCGGATTTGGAGATAACGGAATACAGTACCTGTTGTATGTTTTACTTCGTCCTCACACGTTGACCTTAGAACCTACCACTAGCGACACCGCCTTCCATCGCTCAGTCCAATTGGTCCACTCCCTCCCTCCATCTGCCCTGGCTGTCACTTACTTTACAATTCACTTCGTACGGTTCAGCCTGGTGCGCAGTGGTAAAAAAATCAGTGAATCGCAGGCACCGCTTCCGAACGTGATGCACCCGACTGAAACGCGCTGAGCGAACAACAATTGAGCCAGTGGGACACACCCTCAGCTGATACAGTTACTGTTTGGCGTCCTCCTGGCGTATCGTGTCGAAGCCAGGGCTTACTTTTGGTTTTTAGTCACCCTTAAAAAATTGGGCTCTTTAAAAGTTTACCCTTAATGTTTAGGGTCCAACGGAAGGCAACCCTTAATCGTCAGGGTTCGTTCGAACAGTACCCTTTTTACTGCAACGGTTAGAATCTATCAGGAGATGTATGGACAAGATGAAAAGGGCGTGAGTAACGTGCACAGGGCTGTGAGGGGAGAATGACGAAAATCCACAAAGTGAGTTGTCTCCTCTCTATTTGTGACAACGAGGTGTGAGTAACGTGCTGTGAGGGGAGAAGAACGAAAATCTACTAAGGGAGTTGTCTCCCATCTGTTGGTGACTACGAGGTGTGAGAAACGTGCTGTGAGGGAAGAAGAACAAAAATATACGAAGGGAGTTGTCTCCCCTCTGTTGGTGACTACAAGGTGTGAGTAACGTGCTGTGAGGGGAGAAGGTCGAAAACCTTCTGAGGTATCTCCCCTCAGTCAGTTGGTGTGAGTACGTGCTGTGAGGGGAGAACAACGAAAATCTTCTAAGGGAGTTGTTCCTCTTAAGGAGATCCCCCCTGTAGCCCTACCAGCACTATTAGTACACTCAGGGTAGGAAACAAATATACTTTTAATCTCAAGGGTTACACTCAGTATAAAACCTTAATCCTCTGGGTTCATAAAAATCCAACCCTTAATTTGTGGGGCCAGCTGAAAAACTACCCTTTATTTGACTCAATTTCAGGGCAGCAACCCTTGAAAAATAGGCCCTGGTCGAAGCCGATGTTTTGGGATTGTCCTTGCACGTGTTTGCTTTGGTGTGGTTTGGTCCCATGGATTGGCTCGCACGTCGTTTCCAGCATCCGTTGCGCGACTGCTGCAGAAAGCACTCAAAAGTAGGGAGTTGCTAAGACCAGGTCTAGGTAACAACCATGGTGTACACTTTGCGTGGTGTTGCTTCAAGTGCAGTACCTTATCCTCGGCCCAGTATCCCGTCAGATGTAATACACTTGCGGTAGTCTAGGCCTGAGCTAGTAACTAATCGTTGATGAGCCGCAATATTTCGGACCGCCATTCTAGAGTGAAGAGTTCTGTAATTTCGAATACAATGCGTCTAACATGTTATGTACGTGGCCGATACTAGGGTGAAACAGTCATTGATGCTGAAACGAGCTCCTTCAGTCAACGCCACGCCGTTTCCTTACTTCGAAGACCCTCACTTCGAAGACTAGCTCTCCGATGGTTCTCGCCCGGTCCTTCACGACGGATGACCGACCCTCGCAGTCAACTGATACAGCCTCGCGAGTCACAGAAACGAGAGATAGAGCGTCGAGAGGTGGCGAAGCGAGCGATAGAGCGGCTTCACGAAGTAGAGCCTCCCATAGCGACCGTGCGAGAACCCCCAGCGGTTCGAGCGATCGCGACAGACTTTCGTTCCGCAGCGATGCTGAGCTGGACGCCCTCCATGGCTGTGACAATAGCGAGGGGATTTCCTGCATCCCCTGCTTGCAGCCACTCATCTCCCGCGAGATGCGCTCCAGCCGTTCGCACGCGCCTCACCCCTTTCAAGCGCCCGAAGTTTCCCATGCGTCCACCGGCTCTCGCGCGGTGACGGTTTCCGTCACGCCGCGTGCCGCCAGCAGCCGCCACCCCCGTTACCGTCAGCATGGACGGTCACGATCTGCCGCAGCGCTTCCGCCGATTCCGCGCTCCCCCGCGTCATTACCGCGGCAACCGGATCTGAGCCCTACTGGTACTGGTAGCCTCCGCCTGGACGTCGGGGGAAGCCGGGGAAGCGGGCAAAGCGGGGGGGGCGGGGGAGGCGGGGGAAGCCACGGGGATCTGGACCCAACTGAAAGCGACCGGGCGAGTTTCACCCTCCCGCTACCGTCGAGACAAAGCGTGGCGGGGTCGTCAGGGCGATCGGATGAGTCGTCTGGGCGACTGGAAGTGCCGTCTGGGCGATCGGAAGTGTCGCCTGGGCGACTGGAAGTGTCGTTTGGGCGACTGGAAGTGTCGTCTGGGCGATCGGAAGGTGCTTTCGAGAGATTAGATGGAGAGTCGGGTCGACTGGGAGGTGCGTCCGGGCGATCAGAAGGGTCGCTTGGGGGATGGAATGTCGCAGGCGACGGAGCGAGCGACAGGAGGGAGGCCTCGGGAGCAGTGCGGGCGACAGAGAGCAGATCGCACGCAGTGGGTGGTGGGATCAGACCAGACAGGCGGTTAGAAATCAGACCTGACGGAGAGCCAGACGACGAGATCCGACTTCACGGAAAACGTTTACGTTCTGACGCGGGGACGTCGTGGGGACGAGTGAGCTGGGCTCCGGGTTTAAAAGCAGAGGCGGGGCAGCGGCGGGAAAGGCGAGAGCAAGGGTCAGAGTCGCACTATAGTAGCAGGCACGGGGGAGCCAGCAGTAATAGACGCGGCGGGAGCAGCGGTTTTAGACGTGGAGCAAGCAGCAGTAGCAGCGACGGAGGAGCCTTCCTGTGGGGCTGCTGCCTCCCCCATCCGCCCGACTCGCCGTCTGGAGAGAACAAGGAGAGGGGAAGAGAGGGAAGCCAGGAGGAGGAGTGCAGGGGGGGGGATGCGTGGAGCAGCGCGTGGGGAGAGCGAGGAGAGGGGGCAGGCGGGTGTTTGTCCGAGGCGGCGTGGGCGGCGTACCTGAACCAGGCCGCACCTCAGAAGCAGGCTCGGCGCGCGCCGTCGTCCCCGCCGCCGAGCCAGGCGGGCGGGGTGCGATACTTGCTGTACCGGTGGATGCTGGGGCTCATGAGACGGATGAAGATCCCCGTGATCCACCCGTACTCGCGGTTCAGACGTGATATCAACCTCGTTGTCGGCGCGTGCATCCTCTACAACATGGTGAGTGCTGAAGCGCCCCATATCTCCAATCCCCTAGAAGGGGCTCATATCTGCACAACTGGTGGGTAGGGTCTGTATCAGGTGGACTGTACAGCATGGTGGGTGGGACGTCATTATCGAGTTTATTACAGGACATGGAGGGCAAATCGTGACTGTACTGGGCTTTGGTTTGCTTGTGTCCACCAGCTCCCCCCTCCCCTCCCTCACCAACTATGCATCATCCCCTCCCCCTCCCGCTCCCCCTCCCCCTCCCGCTCCCCCTCCCCCTCCCGGCCTTTAGTGGGAGATTCTCTTTCAACTGGCCTGTGACCTGCGCTCCACCGCCCCTTGGCCCATTCTCGACTCCACCCTCTCTCACGTCACTCCCTCACACGCCCTCACGCCCCACCTGTGCCACCCACCCTGTTGCCTATTCTCCGCCTCCCCCATCCCCCAGTGGGAGATTCTCTTCCAGCTGGCGTTTGACCTGCGCTCCACTGGCCCATGGCTCATTCTCGACTCCACTCTCTCCGCCATCTATCTGGTCGATGTCCTCCTGGGGTTCAAAACTGGGTGAGTGGGGTGGGGCTCTAATCCGGGGCGACCTCTAATCCGGTGCGGGGCGACTTCCGACTGCACTCAAACCACCTTTTCCGCTCCATCCTCTCCGCCATCTATCTGGTCGATGCCCTCCTGGGGTTCAAAACTGGGTGAGTGAGCCGCTTCGCTCCCGGTGAGGGGTTCGCCATATGGCAGGGGTCTGGCATGGTATTTGCCAATATGGCAAGGGATACGGCAAGGACAAACAAGATGTCACCCTATGTTAGGTCGCCCGTTTTCCTTGCAATGCAAATCCAGGGTGTTTTTTAGAGTTCTGAACCACGCCCTGCAGAGTTATCGAGAACCCGGTGCAGTCCATGCTTCCCCGCAAACAAGATATCAACGGGCTGCAGGGGCTTCAGGGGCTGCAGTGGCTGCACGGACTGCACGGACTGCAGTGACTGCAGTCCGTGCTCCTATTGTAGATTCTTTGCCTATTCTCCTATGTCCATCCCCTCGCCTGTTCTCCTTGTGAGTCCATTCTGCGTCTGCTTACCTCTGAATAATATTCTCTGCGATGGTTGATTTCTGTATATACATACACATATATATTCATGTACTTGTATTTACATGCGTGTGGCATCAGGTATGTGACGCGAGAGCGCCATGTTCGCACGGAGGATGGCATCAAGATCATGCAAGCACAGCATATCGTGATGGAGCAGGTGCGAGGGGGATGCAGGGATGCAGAGAGACACAGAGAGACAGAGGGGCAGAGAGACAGAGAGACACAGAGAGACAGAGAGATGTAGGAAAGGGTGATATTGGAACGGAGGGAAGGGAAGGATGTAGGGGGAGAGCGCCATTCCGCACAGAGGATGTCATCACAATCATGCAAGCACAGTGGGTCGTGCTGGAGCTGGTGCAAAAGGGGGATGAGTGGTGGGATATGAAAGGATATGAAGTGGTGCAAGGGGGTGGCAAGGGAAGATACAAAGCGGACAGCATCAAGATCATGCAAGCGCAGCGGATGGTGATCAAGAGCAGCTGAAGCGCCTGAGCCTGATTGCCTCTCTCTTCCCATTACGCTGGTCTGGGGTCGCATCGTGTCACATCGCGTGCTACTACGTGGGCACGTGGTTCCTGCTGCACCTCTGAACGCTTCTCGCCCTTCTTTCCCCTCTTCCTGCCACCCCTCGCTGCAACCCCCTCCGTTTCCTCTGTCACGACCAGCATCGCATTGTGCGGCGGCACACTGGCAGTATCCGTGCGCTTGATCCTGATGAACCTGCTCTCCTCCCTGCCTGCCCTTGGACCTCTGGCCTTCCCCCACACCCCTGTCCTCCTGCCCCTCTTCTCCCATTTCCCCTGTCTCCACCTTTTCCACCGCACCCACCAGCGGCGCATCGTGTGGCACTACCTGCGCACGTGGTTCGTGCTGGAACTGCTCTCCTCGCTGCCTGTGGCGCCCCTTGCCCTGCCCCACACCTTGCCTGCCCGTTCCGTCCCCCCACATCGCTTTCCTCGTCACCCGTACCATCACCCACCAGCGGCGCATTGTGTGGCACTACCTGCGCACGTGGTTCCTATTAGACCTGCTCTCCTCGCTGCCCATGGACCTCGTCATCTCGCTCACCACCGCCTCCTCCTCCGGCTTCTGGATCTCCACCGTGAGTCTGCATTGCCGCTTGCCCTGCTGCGGGAGTCTTTGACTGCTGCTTGCCGCTGTGAGTGCCTCTGGTCTCACGGTGTGCCTAATGCTCACCCCCTTGCTTCCCTCACCATCTCCCGCACCAACCCCTCCTCCTCCGGCTTCTGGATCTCCACTGTGAGTCCTGAGTGGTGATAGCTGTGGTGAGTCCTGAGTGGTGATAGCTGCGGTGAGTCCTGAGTGGTGATAGCTGCGGTGAGTCCTGAGTGGTGATAGCTGCGGTGAGTCCTGAGTGGTGATAGCTGCGGTGAGTCCTGAGTGGTGATAGCTGCGGTGAGTCCTGAGTGCCAATCGTCCTTTATACTTCCACTCGTATCCCCATCCCACCAGGTCTTCCACCTGCTGGAGCTCTTCCTCGCGTCGCGTGCCGCCTGCTGAACTCCCGCGTACTCACGCGCATGCAGCACGCTCCTCCACTTCCCCCTTGCCTGTGCTTTCCGCCCCCTATCAGGTGTTCCGCCTGCTGAAGCTGTTCCGCATGCGGCGCCTGCTGAACGCCACGAACCAGCTGAGGACGTCCTCACTGAGCTCCACGTGGATGGAGCTCACCGTGCTCATCCTGCAGGTGAGGCGTTCTGCGGTGCAGCTGAGGTGCATGCTTGCAGCTGAGGTGCATGCTTGCACGTGAGGCATCCTGCGGGTGAGGCATTCTGCAGGTGCGACTGACATACCCAACTGGATCTTCCAAGTGACTAATGCAAGGCCCAACTCGAGGTCGTCCTCCCTCCCTGCTCCACGTGGATGGAGCTCACCATGCTCATCCTGCAGGTGAGCTCTTGCCCCCCAGGTATGACTGCCCATGCCATGCACGTGCATGTGATACTGCACTCAGCGGTCACCTCCTCACTAAGCTCCACGTGGATGGAGCTCACCGTGCCCCCCAGGTATGAAATATGTGACATGTGTGCACTCAACAGTCACGAGAGGTCGTCCTCCCTGCGCTCCACATGGATAGAGCTCACCATCCTCATCCTGCAGGTGTGCTCTGGCGCTCACTCAGCAGGCGACCATTGCATTCAAGCAAACACTAGTCACTTGCCAACGCCCTTACTCACAATGCCGTGCACTTATTTCCCATGCCCCCTTATTTCCCTGTTCTCCCCTTCCTGCCCACTCAGATCTGCATGTTCTGCCACCTGGGCGCGTGCGCCTTCGCTATGATTGGCCGGCTGGAGCCAGCGGGGCAGTCCTGGCTGGCCAACTTCTTCTGGAACGATGACGGGGAGGCCCGGCCGCTCGACACGGCGTCCCCGGTCGTCGCCTACGTGGCAGCCGTCTATTGGTCCATGGTCACATTGGCGTCGGTGAGTGCCCATTATACCCCATCATACCACATACCCCCGTACACCCCATGCCACGTGCCTCCTCCGGTCGTCGCCTACGTGGCAGCCATCTATTGGTCCATGGTCACATTCGCATCGGTGAGCGCCCATCATATACCATCATATGCCCATCATATACCATCATATGCCCATCATATACCATCATATGCCCATCATATACCATCATATGCCCATCATATACCATCATATGCCCATCATATGCCCGTCATATCTATGTTGGAATATACGCACAGAAGGCTTTGCGTATTGCGTATATACGCTTGCGAATACACGCAATACGCAGATACGCTTGGAATACGCGATACGCGATACCCGGGCTGCCCGGCAAAAAAAAAAAAAAAAAAAAAAAAAAAAAAAAAACCCTTTTTTTTTCCGCGGCTCGCGACGTCGCGGTTTTTTCGCCCATGATTTTTTGCCCATACCCCAGCCTGCTCTGTACGTGTTTGAAAGCCATCCCGTGTTTGTCGTTCCCCATTTCCGTCGAAATCTCAGCTTTGAAGCGAAACGGTGGTGTGCTTAGCTAGGTGGCGGAGATTGCGCGAGTTACGGTGCTTGTTGGTCTTCTACCAAAACGATGGGGGAGATGATGGGGGGAGAGTCGAGCATTTGTGAGGAAAGGTTGGAGTTTTTAGATGGGTGGGGGTTCAGTGCGGTGAAAGGGAGGGAGTTGGTTGGCTGGAAGGCAATTTGACTTTGTAGACGGGGGGGTTGAGTGCGGTGAAAGGGAGGGAATTGGCAGGTCAAAATTCGACCCCTCAGAAAATGCCTCTCATTTGAGAGTCACGTTTTCAGAAACCCTAGCCTAGCCGCTCCCATCATGGCTTCCTTGCTGCCCCCTGGTTTTGTTACCCTGCCCGGGCAAACCTTTTTTCCTGCCTGGGCATGCGTATTCCTGCCGTATTGGACCCCAAACCCAAGCGTATAGCGTATATACGCAAGCGTGTATACGCTAGCGTATAAAACGCAATGCGCGTATTTTCCAACATAGCGTCATATGCCCATCATATGCCCATCATATGCCCATCATATGCCCATCATATGCCCATGATATCCCATCACATGCCCATCATATACCATCATATGCCCATCATATACCATCATATGCCCATCATATACCATCATATGCCCATCATATACCATCATATGCCCATCATATACCATCATATGCCCATCATATACCATCATATGCCCATCATATACCATCATATGCCCATCATATACCATCATATGCCCATCATATACCATCATATGCCCATCATATACCATCATATGCCCATCATATACCATCATATGCCCATCATATACCATCATATGCCCATCATATGCCCGTCATATGCCCATCATATGCCCATCATATGCCCATCATATGCCCATCATATGCCCATCATATGCCTATCATATGCCCATCATATGCCCCTCATATGCCCCTCATATGCCCATCAAACCTGCATCATTATACGCACATCATACTGTGAGTCTTCATGTCCCCTTTGCCTTGTCTCCCCTCTCATGCCTCCCATAAACCCCATTCCCCTTTCCCACCACACCCTCTATTCCCCTTACCATACCCCATACCCATATCCATGCCCCATACCCCCATACCCACAGGTGGGCCTATGGCGACATCTACCCCCAAGAGACCCTCCCAGAGCACAGTGTTCCCTTCCCGCTCATTGTCGTTCAAGTCTCCTTATTTCCCAATCCCAACCCCATGCCCACACCACAGGTGGGCTATGGCGACATCTACCCCCAGGACACCCTCTCAGAGCGCATATTCGGCACTGTGTACAACCTGCTGGCTGCCATCATGCTGGGCTACGCTGTCGGTCAAATCACCTCCCTCATCTACGCCAGCAGGTAAACTCTCCTTCATTCATGCTAGCAGGTTAACCCGTGGTACTATTCTTCTCGGCATGTGTGCTTCACTTATTTCGACCGGCTACAACTTGCTGGCTACCATCATGCTGGGCTACGCTGTCGGTCAAATCACCCTCCCTCATCTACAGCCAGCAGGTGAGCCCGTAGTACCGTATCCGAGACAGTGTTTCTTCCGTGGGATTGACCGACCGTCTACAACCTGCTAGCTGCCATTGTGCTGGGCCATGCCATCCGGCGAATCACCTCCCTCATCTGGGCTATGTGATCTTGGGCGTTGGGCGATCTTGTGCCTTTGGCGACGATCGTGCGTGTTGGGCGACCTTGGGCGTTGGGTGATCTTGGGTGTTGGGCGATCTTGGGCGTTGGGCGATCTTAGGCGTTCGGCCACCTTGGTCGTTGGGCGATCTTGGGCGTTGGGCGATCTTGGGCCTTGGGTGTCTTGGGCGTCGGGCGATCTTCGGTGTTGGGCGATCTTGCAAGCTGGGCAATCTTGCGAGTTGGGCGATCTTGGGCGTTGGGCGATCTTGGGCGTTGGGCGATCTTGGGCGTCGGGCGATCTTGGGTGTTGGGCGATCTTGGGCGTCGGGCGATCTTGGGCGTTGGGTGCGCTTGGGCGTGGGTGCGCTTGGGCGTGGGTGCTCTTGGGCGTGGGTGCTCTTGGGCGTGGGTGCTCTTGGGCGTGGGTGCTCTTGGGCGTGGGTGCTCTTGGGCGTGGGTGCTCTTGGGCGTGGGTGCTCTTGGGCGTGGGTGCTCTTGGGCGTGAGTGCTCTTGGGCGTGGGTGCTCTTGGGCGTGGGTGCTCTTGGGTATTCTGCCTCTGCCTCTGCCTCTACCTCTATCACTGCCTCTGCCTCTGGGCTCTGACCCTGGCTCACCCTCTGCCCCTCCCACTTCCTCTGCCCCTGCCCTCTCCCACTTTCCCTTGCTCGCGCCCTTTCCCCTGCCTCTGCCCCTGCCCTTTCCCCTGCCTCTGCCCCTGCCCTTTCCCCTGCCTCTGCCCCTGCCCTTTCCCCTGCCTCTGCCCCTGCCCTTTCCCCTGCCTCTGCCCCTGCCCCTGCACCTGCCGCTGCCCCTGCTCCTGCCTGCACCTGTGCTTCCCCCCCCCTCAGGGAGCGGCGGGAGAATGCGAGGCAACGCTTTGGGACACTCCACAAGTGGGCCCCTCTCTTCCTTCTTGCTCTCCCTGTCCTTCCGCTTTCGCTGCTCTCATCCCTTTCTCCCAATCGTTATCATTCGCATGCTCCCCTTGCTTTTTCTTTCGTCTCTTGCATTCGAACTTGTAGTTTGTTTGTCGTCTCCCGCGTTCTAACTTCTAGTTGGTTTATTTGTTTCGAAGTAAAGTTTTCTTGTCTCGCTGTAGTCGTCTCTTGTCTCGTGGTTCTTCCATCTTGCTTTCCACTGCTCTTCCCTCGATCACTCTCCTGTGTGCTTGCAGGTTCATTGAGAAAGAGGAGCTCCCCGAATGGCTGGCCAACCGACTGGTAAGGAACAATGTCTGTTCGTATGAGACTTGTGGTGAGGCAGGTTGTGCCTGCCTGCAAGTTGCAACCGTTACCAGGCATATTAACATATTAGTCCACCAGCTGAAGTGTGGATAACCGGCTTCTCTCCCAACCCTTCCCATCCCTGCTGTGCCGCCCATCTTGGCTTTCCTCCCTCTCCTTGCCGCATGCCTCCACAACCAAACCAACCCCCTTCCTTCCTCCTTAGCTCTCCTCCCCTCTCCCCCCCTCCCCCTCCTCCTTTGCATCAGTTGATGCACCTCACGCGCGAGTGGCAGGAGCAGCTATCGCAGAAGTTTAACGAGTTTGAGCTCATGGGAAGCCAGCCTGCCCCCCCTTCCTCCCATCCTCTCCCCTCCCCCTTCCCCCCCAGATGGTGCCACTGGCAGGCGCAGGTCTCGCAGAAGTTTGACTCACCTCCTTTTAAGGCGCCTCAAAAGTCTTCCCCCCCAGATGGTGCCAGTGGCAGGCGCAGGTCTCGCAGAAGTGTGACTCCCCTCCTTCCTTCTTCCCTTCCACCTCCCCTCTACCCCGCCAGATGGTGCACCTCCCCTCTACCCCGCCAGATGGTGCACCTCCCCTCTACCCCGCCAGATGGTGCACCTCCCCTCTACCCCGCCAGATGGTGCACCTCCCCTCTACCCCGCCAGATGGTGCACCTCCCCTCTACCCCGCCAGATGGTGCACCTCCCCTCTACCCCGCCGGATGGTGCACCTCCCCTCTACCCCGCCAGATGGTGCACCTCCCCTCTACCCCGCCAGATGGTGCACCTCCCCTCTACCCCGCCAGATGGTGCACCTCCCCTCTACCCCGCCAGATGGTGCACCTCCCCTCTACCCCGCCAGATGGTGCACCTCCCCTCTACCCCGCCAGATGGTGCACCTCCCCTCTACCCCGCCAGATGGTGCACCTCCCCTCTACCCCGCCAGATGGTGCACCTCCCCTCTACCCCGCCAGATGGTGCACCTCCCCTCTACCCCGCCAGATGGTGCACCTCCCCTCTACCCCGCCAGATGGTGCACCTCCCCTCTACCCCGCCAGATGGTGAACCTCCCCTCTACCCCGCCAGATGTGCACCTCCCCTCTACCCCTCTCCTCTCCCCTTCCCCCCGCCAGATGGTGCACCTCCCCTCTACCCCTCTCCTCTCCCCTTCCCCCCCGCCAGATGGTGCACCTCCCCTCTACCCCTCTCCTCTCCCCTTCCCCCCCGCCAGATGGTGCACCTCACATCACCTCTCCTCTCCCCTCCCCTTTACCTCCCCTCTACCTCCCCTCTACCTCCCCTCTACCCCTCTGCCCTACCCTTCCCCCCGCCAGATGGTGCACCTCACCCGCCAGTGGCAGGCGCAGCTCTCACAGAAGTTTGACGAGTTTGAGCTCATGGGAAGCCTCACGGTGAGAAGGGAAACCTCGCAGTGGGAAAGGGAAGATTGATTGTTCACCAGTTTGCCTCTCACATGCATGCTAGTGGTTCAGTGGTCCAGTGGTCCAGTGGACCAGCGGTCCAGTGGTTCAGTTGTGTGGTCCAGTGGGAACATATTTGACTGTCTGCTGAATACATAGGCAGGCGAACAGTGGTCGGTCCACTAGTCCACTGGACCACTGCCTGGTCCACTGGACAACTGACTGGTCCACTGGTCCACTCGACCACTGGACCACTCGACCACTGGACCTTAGTTGCTACAAACGCGTTTGGCGTTTGAACGCTAGCGTTTAAACGCTAGCGTTTGAACGCTAAACGCTCGGCAGCATGTATGTGAACGCTAGGCAAACGCTTGCCCGGGCAGGGGTAAAATTTTTACCCGGGCAGGGGTTCAAGATTCCTGTGGGGGAGGGGGGAAACATGGGGGTTCTACCAGCAAGCATTTTGTCTCATAAAAAAGAACCGTGCTTAACATTTAAGCCAGCATCCTCATATGTCATGTAAATCACCTATCCTTAAGGCTATTCTCCAACGACAATCTCGTGTTTTTTTTGGGGGGGCAGCCCGAAAAAAATCCCAGAGAGCGTTTGCGTTTTTGGGTGCGTTTGGCGTTTGCGTTCAAACGCTAGCGTTTGAACGCCAAACGCTTGTCTCCCAGAGCGTTTGTAGCAACTAAGCACTGGACCACTCGACCACTGGACCACTCGACCACTGGACCACTCGACCACTGGACCCCTCGACCACTGGACCACTGGACCACTGGACCACTGGACCACTGGACCACTCGACCACTGGACCACTGGACCACTCGACCACTGGACCACTGGACCACTGGACCACTGGACCACTGGACCACTCGACCACTGGACCACTGGACCACTGGACCACTGGACCACTGGACCACTGGACCACTCGACCACTGGACCACTGGACCACTCGACCACTGGACCACTGGACCACTGGACCACTCGACCACTGGACCACTCGACCACTGGACCACTGGACCACTGGACCACTGGACCACTGGACCACTGACCACTGGGACCACTGGACCACTGGACCACTCGACCACTCGACCACTCGAACACTCGACCACTCGACCACTGGACCAGTGGACCAGTGGACCAGTGGACCAGTGGAACAGTGGACCAGTGGACCAGTGGACCAGTGGACCAGTGGACCACTCGACCACTGGACCACTGGACCACTGGACCACTGGACCTCTGGACCACTGGACCACTCGACCACTCGACCACTGGACCACTGGACCACTGCACCACTGGACCACTCGACCACTGGACCACTCGACCACTGGACCACTCGACCACTGGACCACTGGACCACTGGACCACTGGACCACTGGACCACTGGACCACTCGACCACTGGACCACTGGACCACTGGACCACTCGACCACTGGACCATCTGGACCACTGGACCACTCGACCACTCGACCACTGGACCACTGGACCACTGGACCACTCGACCACTGGACCACTCGACCACTGGACCACTGGACCACTCGGACCTCTGGACCCCACTGGACCCCACTTGACCACTCGACCACTGGACCACTGGAACCACTGGACCACTGGACCCACTGGACCAGTGGACCACTCGACCACTGGACCACTGGACCACTGGGACCACTGGACCACTCGACCACTGGACCACTCGACCACTGGACACACTCGACCACTGGACCACTCGACCACTGGACCACTCGACCACTGGACCACTGGACCACTGGACCACTGGACCACTGGACCACTCGACCACTGGACCACTGGACCACTGGACCCACTTGACCACTATGACCACTGGACCACTGGACCACTGGGACCACTGGACCACTGGGACCACTGCCGACCACTGGACCACTGGACCACTCGACCACTGGACCCACCTGGACCACTGCACCACTGGACCACTGGACCACTGGACCACTGGACCACTGGACCACTGGACCACTGGACCACTGGATCACTGGACCACTCGACCACTGGACCACTCGACCACTCGACCACTGGACCACTGGACCACTCGACCACTGGACCACTGGACCACTGGACCACTGGACCACTCGACCACTGGACCACTGGACCACTGGACCACTGGACCACTGGACCACTGGACCACTGGACCACTCGACCACTCGACCACTCGACCACTGGACCACTGGACCACTCGACCACTGGACCACTAGACCACTCGACCACTGGACCACTCGACCACGGACCACTCGACCACTGGACCACTCGACCACTGGACCACTCGACCACTGGACCACTCGACCACTGGACCACTGGACCACTGGACCACTCGACCACTGGACCACTGGACCGCTGGACCACTCGACCACTGGACCACTGGACCACTGGACCACTGGACCACTCGACCACTGGACCACTCGACCACTGGACCACTGGACCACTGGACCACTCGACCACTGGACCACTGGACCGCTGGACCACTCGACCACTGGACCACTGGACCACTGGACCACTGGACCACTCGACCACTCGACCACTGGACCACTGGACCACTCGACCACTGGACCACTGGACCACTGGACCACTCGACCACTGGACCACTGGACCACTGGACCACTGGACCAGTGGACCACTCGACCACTGGACCACTGGACCACTGGACCACTCGACCACTGGACCACTGGACCACTCGACCACTGGACCACTGGACCACTGGACCACTCGACCACTGGACCACTCGACCACTGGACCACTCGACCACTGGACCTCTGGACCACTGGACCACTCGACCACTCGACCACTGGACCACTGGACCACTGGACCACTGGACCACTCGACCACTGGACCACTCGACCACTGGACCACTCGACCACTGGACCACTGGACCACTGGACCACTCGACCACTGGACCACTGGACCACTGGACCACTGGACCACTGGACCACTCGACCACTGGACCACTGGACCACTGGACACT